CCGGATCCCTCCCAGCAAGGGGCTTTGGACGTCACTCTCATTAGCTTTGCTAGAGGGTTTGGTGGGCTGTTGCTCTCCAGCAGTATCCCAGGTCCTTGCTCGGGGGTAAGCCCAGGTTTACAAAGAGCGTGAACCGCAGTCTTGGGCTGTTATTCCGCAAAGGGTTGAGCATAATGCACGGCTCGGAACTCTTTCTGGGAGTGCTGGCACATCACGGGACCAGAAAGCTCACAAGCTTTTCCAGATGCAGCCGAGTTGCGACGCGCGGAGCGCAGGCATCCTGGCCCCACTGTTGGCTTCATTCCACCTTCATCCAAGCCTTTTGCTCAGTCCGGTCTCGCCAACGTCTCTTTGAGGGATTTCAGAAAAAGCAAAGCTTGCCTCTCCAATGCCGCGTTGTCAGCAGCCAACATTCTCTGGGCAAGGAGATACGCAAGCTCACACGGAAGGTCGCAGGCCAAGTGCCTTTCAGAAAGCAAATGAGAAAGGTAAAACTGGCATACCGTGGCCACAAACGTGTCCGTCCGCCACAGCAAATGCATCAGACTTTAAGGTGCCACAAGATTAGTTGCTGCTTCTCTTTCAACTGAGCGATGCAGCCACTCCTCAGGAAACGCAGGCCGATCCCCAGAACCTCCCGTTTTGCCTTAAGGAGGGGTCCTGGATGGGCCGAGAACAGCAACCCAGCGATGAGAGCGAAAATGAGAAGGGCTGCAGGGTTCATTCTCCTAAGGGCGCAGTGTTCAACACCAGGCGAGCTGCTGCCCCAGTGCCCGAATCCACTCAGTTAAAAAGGAGCAAAGTCAGATTTAAGGATATCAGGTCCAAAGACACCACACGCCACTCACTCCGACTCCTGAACATTCCAGAGGGTTCTCTGGACAGACAGTGGAAAAGGCCTCGGAAAAGCAGGACCTCAGGCCAGAAGTCACCTCTGCTCCTCTTCTTACCTTTCCTTCCGCAGTTCGTTGCCCTGCTCCTCTTCCAAACTCCATAAGGAAATGAATGGCTAGGTGGAGATAAGCAGGCACGGCGTATGCACAGGGAACTCTAGAACGTTCTAGCCCGATGTCCAAGAAAGCTTTCCGAGTTTCAGCTGTCAAGGATTGGTGGCCTTGCAGCCACTTTTGACGAGTCCCCTGGACGAGCTCCCTCCTGCGCCGGCTCAGAGCCATCCAGATGCGCTCGTTCTGTGTCGAGAGTCTCCAAAGCGCCCATTCAGTTCTTTACAGCCTCAAAAGCAGGGTTTTGCCTTATCCGGGTCACCGTTGAGAGGACACCGTTTTCGCAATGCGCATGTGTTCGCGTCTGTGCTGAATTCCATGCCCACAACTTTCCAGCATGAGCAGCATCACGCCCGGGGGAAGGAAATCGGGTGCTTTTCCGTGGTGAGGCCGCCCCTCTGTGGCTTCTAATGTGCACCTTTACAGCACAGGAATGGGAGAGCGTCTCCCACCTTCTATCCTTACAAACTGAAAAGCAGAGTCTTTTAAAAATCCAGATTTTTTCCAGGGGGCACGTTCTTACCTCTCGTATTATCGCCTTCGGCCACATGGCGGCAGGTACGGATCACCTCACCCTGCCGCTAATCCATACAGGTGATTCACATCGGACGTGTGGCCGACTCCTAAAGGGCATCGTGGCAGGTGGGTCACCACGCTGCTGCCGTTCTTTCGTACAGAGATTCCTGGTGCCTGACTCGACACCCCCTGCCGCGCACACAGGTGCTGGAACAAGGTGTGGGACGCCCTTCATCTTGCCAAGGGCACGGAGCCCCCCTGACAAATTTGGGCTGGCAAATTGTCTTTCGATGGATGGCCCTAAGAAAATCCAGCTTCGGGCCTTAAGCAAGGAGAAGGCGGTGGGACGCAGCAGCGGCTCGCAGGGCATCAGGACTGGACCGGAAGGCAGCCCTGACCGGGAAGCCCCCAACAGGTGCCAGGCCTGTTCTCGAAGGATGCTCTTGGAAGGGGTGAGGAACTGCCTTCCATGGGGGACTCCGGTGGGAGGGCTGCTCCTGCCGTTCCCATTTGTGCCTCTGGATACACCATCTCCTCCTTGCAGCCCAGCCTCCTGAAATCCTTGCGCATAAATGCTCGCTGATGCCCCCGAACACTGGCGTTTGCCCCCCACAGGGCAGAACATCCAGCCTGCCGCAGCCTGTATCCTGTGCCACAGTGCCACCTCCTCCGCCCAGGCCCCCGGTGTCCGGAGCTCAGGCGCTGCTCCCGCAGCAGCCCAAATCCCGAACATTCCTGAGTGTCCAGGGATGCACACGCCCCCAACAGTCAGAGAAATATTGGATTGTCAAGCCCGGCTGCTTAGGAAGGCAGTGCAAAGCCCCACGAGGAGGCGCCCCTGGCATTCCCGCAGGTCCTCAGCTAGCCGTCCCAGACACCCTGCCCTCACCCAGGTGCCTCCAGGTGGGTTGGGCAGCGGCTTCCCGCACCTCCCAGCCAGCAGGTGGTCCAGGGTATCTGGGGGGACTGGGAAAAGAGCCTCCCCTTCAGGTGCAGCCTGGAGGTGGGGGGGAGGCCCTCTGGAGGGGAGGTTGGGGCGGGACCGGTGGTCCTGCGAGTCGGGGCGGGCCGAGCTCTTCGATGCCCTGGGAGGCACCGCGAAAGCACAGGAAAAGCCACGCTGACCCGCCGGCCTCGGGTCGTTCCGTCATTTGGGTCCTCATCCAGTGCAATGACCAGAGGAGCACCTGCTTCCTCCTTTTTCTTTGGGGGGAGGATTGTATGCCCAGGAACTGTGCATGAATGGGGGGGGACGCCGAGTTGGCTGTGCCAGACGCCTCCCAGGTGGCCTACTCATGAGCAGGACCAGCGCGGAGTGGAGCTGGGACAAAGCACCAACACGGATCACGTTCGGGTAGTCTCCAAGGGGACAGGGCCAAAGCACGGAGGAGGAGGAGGCGGTGGCCGCCCATGGCTACTAGTCCTTATGGCTACGGGCCACCTGGTGTATTGGGCAGGAGGCCTACACGCACCACTGGCTGGGGAGCATGGGTGCGAGGGTGCGCTGGGGCCCAGGCCTGGGCTTCTCAGAGGCGCCCGGCTGGCTGTGGAGGAAGCAGAAAGCGGGATGGGAGCAGCCTCCTCCGATGTGCTCGGGACGCCGTCCCAGGACCCCTCCTGCTTTATCCCCACTCCACCCCACCCCCCCATCCCCGGGCGCATGTCACCTGCCTCATCAGGTGTCCGGCTGGCCTGCAGCGCCCAGGATGGTGACCGCAAGTGCGGCCGCCGGCCTGGGCAAGCGCCCCCGCCCGGCCTTGGCATGGCGTGCAACTTGGAGGGGCGACCGCCGGGACCACGGCACCCGGGCCCCCCGAGCGCTTGCGCAAGGCCCTCTTCAGCGCAGCGTCAGGAAGGAGAGGGACAGCTGCTTCAAGGCAGGGAGAATCAGGCGCTTGGGGAGCGGAGGGTCCGGAAGCAGGGCCCCCAGGTTCTGAGGGGGAAGAGCCAGCAAGGCTCCCCTCACGGCCGCCCTCTCCAGGGGCTCCGGTGGACCCCGAGCCCGGCTATGGTCCGCGATTGCTGGGAGGGGGCGAGGAGTGAAAGCAAGCGGGGAGCCGGCCCGACCCCTGGCGCAGCCCTGGGAGAAAAGGGCCAGCCAGCCCCGAAGGCTGATCCATCCCGGGGGCCCTCCCAGAGGGCCGGAGCCCAGGGGTACTCAGAAGGAGGGTTCTTGGAGGTAGTTTCTAGTGTGGGTTCCACAAACTGCTCTGCGCATGCTCAGAGATGCTTTCTGGACGTATGTATGCTTTGTTGGACATACACTGGAGAAGAAAGAGCTTTTGCCAAAGAATGCCTGTTGCTCCGAAAGGGCGAAGGGGAAACCGACCCCCGACACAGCGTCTTCTGGGGCGCAGTCCTGTGGCCACCCCTCCCCACCAAGCTGCCCTGCTTGGCTCCCTCTGTCTTAGCAGAAACCTTGCCCTCCCCAACCCCTGCTGAGGTTCCTTGCCATCACGGTGGAGGAGGCCACCCGGACAGAGGTCCATTCCGGCTGGGCTGGGCCTGCCCCCGGACAGGGAGCTGCGGACCCTGGGGAATGCCAGGCAGCGGGGATGGCTCCTCAGGGGCCACCCGCGGGGCCAGACCGCCGCATCCCGGCACGGTCCAAAAGGCCTTGTGGCATCGCCCTGGACCCCAGCTGGCCTTCCTCGCCAGCCACACTCTGAGGAGTGGGGCAGGCCCAGTGCCACATACCCTTCCGGGAACCGAGAATTTGCTCAGGAACGGAACAAGTCCAAATTCGTTCTGGAACGGACAAGGGCAGGGGAGAATTCCGCCCGCCAGCAACCACCTGCTCTGGCACCTTTGCGCCCCACGGGAGGCGTCCGACCCTGACCCAGACCAGCGGCTCCCACTGGGGTGCAGAGCGAGTTGCGCCCATGGAGAGCGGCAGGAGCGGGACCCGGATGCCGTGAGCGGCGCTTCCTCTGCGCCCTCGTGCAGCACGCAGCCAGCATCCACCGGGCCACGCAGGCTCGTGCGGCGGTCGAGGCGGCGAGAAGAGCCTTCCGATCGGACCACCTCCCGATCCCTCTCCGAGCATCCCGGCCATCGGCGACCCGTCTCGGCACACGCGACCAGCGCCCCGGACGGAGTGCTGGCCACCGCGCCTGCTCCGGCTGTGGAGGCTGCTGGCAGGCCGGGCCCCAGGCGGGTGCTGTGGCTCGTGGGCCGAACTGTGGAGCGGGGCCACGGGCCCGCTGAAGTCCATGGCGCAAAGGAGCATCGGAGGCCGCAGCGGTGCAGCGCTGGGTGGCCGGGCCTGCCAGGGAAACGGGGACGGGGGCAGCGCGGGGAGCGGCGGAGTGGGGGGCTGCCAGGCGGAAGGAGCTGCTGCAGCAGAAGGGGGGCAGGTGCGCAGAAGAACCGCTCGCGGTGGCTGTTCCCGGACTCCCTTCCCCGGAGGGAGCGGCTGTGGGGCCGCCAGGGAGCGTCCGGTCCGGTCCGGTCCGGTCCAGTCCGGTCCGCGCCAGGGCCTCATTCCAGCGCCGCCTCCGTGGGCCCCTCCTCCGCGTCCAGGCACCCGTTCATCCTGACGCCGTTGCTGTCGCCCATCGTCTGCAGGTCATACTCCTCGTCCAGGAAGTCCAGGGAGTTGTTACTGGGCAGGCCCCGGATGGTGAACTTGTGCGACACTTTGGTCCAGTGCTCCCGGTTGCTGGCCACCCGCTCGTACAGCTCCGACGACTTGGGGAAGAGGTCCTGGAGCAACCTGGGGGGGGGGCGACGGAAGGGAGTGGAGGCGAGCCACAAGGCAGCTCCTTGGCTTCCCAAGGAGATGCGACCGAGGCCCCCCGGCCTGGTGGCCTAGCGGAGCCCCCTGTGTCAGAGGCAGTCTACCCTCGGGGCCTAAGAACCCTTCATGCTGGTTGCCTGGGAGCAGTGGGGGCCGTGCCCAGACTGCACCCCCCCCCCGGGTGTCCACATCTGGCTCTTACTTGTAGATGGGCATCGCGATGTGCTCCATGAAGCTGATCTGCAGCTCGGGGATGAAGGCCTTCTCCCGGTCCATCATCTCCATCGGCCGGTTGCCCATGGCTTTCTCCTGCAGAGGAGGGCAGCTGGGTCGCTCATTCAGGGCCGGGAGCGGCCAGCTCAGCATCCCACCCCCTTCCGGCGCTGGAAGCCGGGAACCACGTTCGCCACCTCCTCCCCAGCCGGCCTGTGGGGCGCAGCGCCCGCCACAGCCTTCTCCCAAAGCCAACCGGGGCCTCCTCCGCGTTACGACGAGCCGGTGTGCATCCCGGACAGACAGCAGCGAGCAGAACGCAGAGCCGCATGCCAGCCGAGCCGGCCGCGGCTGGGGCGCAATGCACGCGCATGCCAGCCCGGGGCAAATCCCACGGAAGACGCGCGCAGGACTGCCCCGCACGCCCCACCCGAGCCCCGTGCAGCTTCCAGGGGCCTCGGCCGCGACTCGCTTCAGCTGGGCTGGGCGCACTGCCTGCCTGCCTCTCAGACACCCCCTCACACGCTACCCGGAGTGACTCCCGGGGTGTTCAGTGGGAGTTACTCCCAGACACATGGGTACAGGGATCGCAGCCTGAGATTCACCCGCTACCTAAAAAACAATAGGGAGGATGGCCTCCAAATCCACCTGAAGAGCCCCTGCGGCACCCAGGTGAGAAAGGGCGTCATGCCAGGCTCTGCGGAGGGAGGCGGAGGAGAGAAAATCTATCCCAGGGGAACTGGGCCCCCACTAAATCGTTTTTAAATTTAATGTAGGAAACGTTTACCCACTGTTCTCTAACCAAAGTTCTCTGAACGGTTTGCACAACCCTGAATTCTGAAAATAACTTCCCAGAAGACATGTCTGTCCAAGGTTGGCCCAAGAGAGTTTGCCTCTTCGAGCTGTTGTCACGCAAAGCCAGAAAGGTGTGCCCAGGTGCAGAAGTCACCTGCCTCACAATTCCCTGGTTTGGAATATGAACCTCAGAAATTCAACCAGCCCTTAGCTGGAGGCAAATGCTAGGACCAAGAAGCCTTCCTTGGGTCTCCTGGCAAGCCTGGTCTCCTTCCTTCCTTCCATCCTTCTGTCCTTCTGGCCTGCCTGCCTGCCTGGCCAGTCCGCCTGGTGCCTGTGGGAGCAAAGCTTTCCGAAGGCCCCCTCCGTGGAAGACGGCTGGCCACATCCCAGACACCGCGAACTCTGGGATGTGCGGGTCACACAGATGCCCTTTGCCCAGGAAGCCCCCAAGTCGGGGGGAGGTGCAGCAGGCCTCGGGGCCCGGGGGTGGGCGCCACTGGCCACGGCTGCGGGGGGGGGGGGGGCTTCTCCGCCTCTTACGTACCAGGTCGCCCTGAGAGAAGAACTCCTTGTAGATCAGCTCCTGCAAAGCAAGGCGCACGGATCGGGCAGGCGGAAGGGCATCGCCTCTCTCTGGCCGGCCGCCGGAGGCCCCTTGGGCAAGCCAGCATCGCGGCGCCCCCAGCACGAGCCTGGGGGTTCGCCTGCCTAACCTGAGGATCAGCGCCCGAGACGGGCAAGGGGGCCTCCGGCGACCCCAGACCAGAGGCCCCGCCGGCCGGGCCAGCGCGGGGGCTGCGGGATCCGAGGTCCCAGAGAGCGAGGGAGGGCTCCGGCAGGGGCGCTTCCAGCTGCCCCCCAAGTTCCCTCTGGGGAGACATGTCAGGCACTCTTCCTGGCGCCTTCCGGCCTGCGCAGCAACTCTGTTTTGAGCCTCTGTCCCGACTGGGTTGCTGCTTTATTCCTCCAGGCTCCAGTCCCACAGGCAGAGCTTTTCCTGGCTCGGACAGCCAAGAAGGGGGAGCGCTTCACCCATTTACGTCAACGCGCAAGCAGTGGTAAGGGGACGGGCCTCAGGCCGCGCTCTCCCTCCCTCCCTCCCTCTTTCCCAAAGTGTGGGGCACTCCGGATCCAGGGCAGGCAGAAGGTCCCGGCCAGGGCGAGGGCCAAGCCCGGCCCGGCCTTCCACCGTGAGCCCGAGGGAGGGTGGGCCGGCAGGCGCAGCGCGAGGGAGCGCCTTGCCAACACCTGCCCAGGTGGTGGCCAAGGGTGAGCCGGGGGGCCTCGTGACGGAGGACGCGCTCCCCCTGGGGAGGGAAACGGGCAGGACGTGTGGCCTGGCGGAAGCCCCGGGGCCCCTGTGCTGGGAGCAGGAGCCAGGAGGGGGCGTGCTGAAGACCCCTCTGCAACAGACCCCGCACGAGCGCACAAGCCGCCCGGCTCGGTACTCACGGCGATCTTGCGGGTGGTCTTCCAGCCTTTGGTCTGGTCTGAGAGGTCACAGGAGGTCATGAGGAGGCAAAGGAGGAGGCTGTGGTGCTGCTTGTTCTTGGGGTCATAGCCAACTGAGGAAGAGGAAGAGGAAGGGCCGGAGAGGAGCGGAGGGTTGGCCTGGGGCAAAGCTCCGCGTCTGGGAAAGCTGCAGGGCTCTGGCGGGGCACGGCTCCAGCAATGCGGAGGATGCCACCGGCCCGGCCCAGCCCAGCCGTCCACCAGGTGTGGGAAAGCGCAGTCCGCCCCCACCCCCGTTTCTGCTCATGGTGCCTGTGCCCCCCCGCCCCCCCCCAGCGTCCCTTGCAGGCACCCAGAGCAATCAGTGTGTGGGGCGGAAAGGTGCTTTTCCCCTGCGAGTGGACAGACCGCTTCTGCACAACACGGCAACGCCCATCACACCTGGCCGTCCCACAGACGCCAGCCAGGGGGCGGGCAGGGAGGGGCCCCGTTACCTTCCGCCATCTTCTGGAGGTCTTTGAAGATTCTCAGATGGTGCGCAAGATCGGTGGCCAGGATAATGTCGCGCATCAGGTCCAGCATCCTTTGGTAATCCTACATGGGGCCGAGAGGGATCCGTCTGGCCCGGATGGACGGCAGGACCCCCGCTCCGCCCAGAGACCACTGAAAGGAGCCCCCCGAAGACCAGCCACGGGCACCGTGCTGCGGCCCGAGTGCCCCGCTGTGGCCGGCTGGGGCCACCACGCCGTGGGATGCAAGAACCACGGGTGGCCCCGGCCACACGCACCTTCCGGGAGAAATGGTCGAAGATGTTGCAGCCGTGGGTGTTGAGGATGGCGATGGCCTGCGCGAAGTGGTGCCTCTGCAGAGGAGAAGAGCACGCAGAAGGGAGGGCGGGGCGGGGGGCGGGCGGGGGCCCCTTCCTGGGCCTTCCCATCAATGGAGATTCGGCACCTCCTGCCAGAAGGCCTGTCCCACACGGCGCGTCTGCCCTCGCCTTTCCGTGTCTTTCCAGCACTCCTAACCCGGCTGCGGCCAAACGGCTCTCGTGCCGCTCTGCCGCGGCTCTCCCCCGCTAGGGGCTGCAGACAGGTTGGAGCTCGGGGTCTGAGGAGGCCGTGCCTGCCCCCGCCGAGCCCCGTCACTCCGGCCCCGTTCCTCCCACCCCGTGCCAAAACCCGGCGAGCCGTCCCGGTCGCGGGGGGGGCTTACCTCCATCACGGAGCCTTCGGAGCTGTACAGGGCAGCGAGCACCGATTTCTGAAAGAGAGTCCGGAGCACTCATGGCACACAAAGGCCGGGGAGCAGGGAGGGTGGGGTGCGGGGTGCCTGAGCGGACTGGGGGGCTGGGGGAGGGGCCCTGGGGTGCAGCAAGGCTGGCCTGGCCAGCGGGGCCACATGCCTCCGTTCCTCCTCCGGGCGCACCCCTTCTGCACCCCCTCGGCAAGGGCATCCCGATGCTCGCGATCCGCACAGTGCCCAGGCCACGTGATCACTGGCCTTGGGGCTCGTGGCCCCCTCGCCTTGGGAGGTCCCTGCCACCCCTTCATCCCGGACGGGCACCATGGCCTGGGTCCTGCGCCACCCCGGTGTGGCCTCATGGCCCACGGGTGGCACCGGCGGTTGTGGGGCGAGAGAGCGGCACTGCTCAGGGGAGACACCCGGTCCGAACGGGGGGTGGGCTTCCTCAGACACAGAACGGCTCTGGCCGACAGAAGCAGCCGGAGTCTTCCACGGGGAAGGCGGGAATCAGCTCCCAGCGACGTCACTCTTCCGTTACGGTGCGGCCTAGTCTCAGAGGGGTCACTCATCCTTACAAACTGAAATGCGGATTGTCTGGGGTACGCTCCCTTGGTGTAGGATGCATTCCCTCCGGATCATGCTCCTCACCCTTTAAAAAAACCCTCCCGAACTTGTAGTTTTAAAAACCCTCCTTGTGCTTTTCAACCAGGTATCTCCAACCTGAAGCCCTCCAGAGGTGCTGGAGTCCAACTCCCATAATCCCCCCCAGCATGGCTGTTGACCAGGGCTAATGGGAATAGTAGTCCTGCACATCTGGAGGGCGCCGGGACGGGAAAGCCGCGTTAGAAGAGCCTCCGCCTTGGGGGTCCTCGCTCAGGCCGTTGCTTCCTTCCTCCACGGCAGCTTGCAAAGCAGGTAAGTGGCACGGGGGGGGGGGGCAGATTTCAGGCTCTCTGCTGCAAAGGGGGACCCAGCCTTCCCTCCCCCCCCCATTATTTCCCCAGGGGAGGGTCCTTCGATCCATACCGAAGCCACCTGGAAAGAATTGTTGGTGCCCCGGTGGTCCAGATCGTGGCACATGCAGGAGATGAAGAGGGCAAAGATTTCGATGTCTCTGTCGGAGAGAGTCGCACCCCGGCTCAGAATGAGCTCAAGGGCACCTGCCGCCCTGGATGCCCCCAGGTGAGCCACGGGGTCCTCATCTGGGAGGGGAGGGGAGGGGAGGGGAGGGGAGGGCTGGCTGGCAGGAGGAGCAGGTGGCAAGAGAAACAGGCTGGGTGGCCTTCTCTCCCTTGCCGTTCTCTACAGGTAGGCCCCCGGGGCTCCACGCAGGGGATCCCCACCGGAAATCAGGGCCGGGGGGTCCGCAGGTCTGCCTCCCGGGTACGCTCCCTCCCTCGGCACACGATGCTCCTTCCGCCGATGCCGCCTTGCAGGGAGCCCGGGGTGGTGCCCTCTGTGGCTGGGCCAGGCGCGCCGCCCCCCATCAAACTGGGGGAGCTGCCAGGCGGGTCTGCCCTGCAGCGGCGCTGCCCCCGCCCACGGCGCTTTCGCAGGGTGTGGGGATGGCGCCACCTTCTCCTCCCAGCCCTCCCGTTTCCCCACGGCGTCTGATTTTTCTCCCAACACAGAAAACCCACTGAGGAAGAAGAGCAGAAAAGGGGTGCACGAGACCCCCTGGAGGAGCTCTCCCTGGAGGCATCCACCCCGGAGATCTGCCCTCCTGGGGGGGGTGCTGGAAGAACTTCCCTTGCCCACTGCCCACCCCCCAGGCACCGCAAAGACGCTGCCCGGGCCCTGCTGCATGTGCCCCGGGCTGACCCCGCGGGCCGGCCAGGCAGCGTCCACCTACTCCAGGTAATTGGCCAGCTCCAGGTTTTTGTAGAGCAGGTAGCAGAAGTGCGAGACGGAGAAGGCGTGCATCCAGTTGTGGTAGGGGGGGTCCCTGTACCCCTTCTTCACCATCAGGCAGAACCTGGGAGGGAAGGAGCGCACGGGGGTGTCCCGTTTCGGCTGCGGGGCAAGGGGCGGACGCATTCGCACCCCTCCTCGGCCGCGTCAGCCTCACGGGGCTTCCATGCTCTGGAGCCTTGCGTTTACTTGTGTGGGATACACTCTCTTGTCGCTTGCCTTTCGACTCTAAACTGCCCCAGGGACCCAGGCCAGTGGGGCAGGAGACAAGTCCTGCAGCAGGTAAGTGCGTTTCGACTGGCTCCCTCCAAACACCCAAGCTGGTGCTTAGCAAGTATTTATCCACTTATGTATCTAAAATATTTGGATGAGGCTTTGTGGCCAAGCAGGGACCAGACCCGGGATCTCAGTGTGCCGAGCAGCTGCTGTGGCCCTGCTCCCAGCATCCTCCAGTCAGCATGGCACCGGTCGGGGCGCCCAGCAACACCTGGAGGGGCTCAGGATTCCCTGCCCCTGCCCCAGCCCAGTGCTCTAACCACTGCCCCAGACTGCCCAATCCAATGTGGCAGGCCAGGCGATCCAAGCACAATCTCCCGCTTCAGGAGCTGCCCGGGAGCGCAGGGTCCTGCCACCTCTGGCCCCCAGTTCGGTCTGTCTCTGGAGGACTCTAAGCCTGGAGCGCGCCTGCGAGAGGACGGCCCGAGCCACACTGCGGGGGCGCCGCTGGAGGGGCCCCTTTGCCCACTACCTGACCAGAGTTCGGCGGTCCATTTTGTAGCTGTTGATGAAGGTCATGTCCTGCAGCATGCTCAGGATGGCCTGCGGGAAGAGGCGGGGGGCCATCAGCGGCCGACGCGTGGCGACACAGACCCGTCCCTGCCCGCTCGGCGCCGGCACGCGGCCTTCCGGGGGCGCTTCTCCGGCTGCTGAGGGAGGCAGGATGCCGAGCCCCAGGCCCGTCGGCGCCTCCGCTCTGGTCCTGGCGCTCGGCACAGCTGCAAGCTGGGGGCGGGGGTCCGCCAGGGTCCCCCGCGGCTTCAGGGGCCAGGCGGCCTCCCTGCGAGACACGCCGGAGCAGCGGGGGCGCGGGAGGAGGCGGAGGGACGCTCACCATGGGCGTATCGTCCTCCGGGAGAGAGCGCGGCGTGTACGTGAACTCGGCAAAATTCGGGTCGATGGCTGCGACCGGCAGGATCCCTTCGTTGAGCAGCTTCGTGTACTCGTCGTCGGACACCTGGGGAAGGAGCCGGGCCACGCGTGGGGGAGCGGGCACGGTGAGTGCGGCGGCGCTCGCCGGCCAAGTCGGCCTGTCGCTTGGGGGCCGGGAAGGCCAGCCCCCGGAGGGACCCGCAGCGAGCCCTCGCGCCCTCTAAAATGGGGGGCCGCTGCTGCCCGGGCCACCCCAGCGGGCACCTCGCCTGCAGGAGCGCTCACCCGCACCCCACGACGCTGGCCCTCCCCGCCCTCCCACGCCCAGGGCTGGAGCCTGGCCCGCCAGGAGGGGCGGGGGGCCGGCGAGCGCCCGCCTCTGGACCGGCCGCGCTGCTGCTTACCTGCATGTGGTACATCATCATCTCGTTGGCCAGGTGGCTGCGGTACTGGGCCTCGCGGACTTTCTTATAGAGCAGGGACTAGGGCAAGGAGAGAGCAGAGGTAGCCGCCCTCCTCATGGGCTCAGAGTCGGACTCCTCGGCGCCAGGGCCAAGCCTCAGGCGAACACGCAGGGGCGCCCCGGGAAGGCGCGGGAGAAGCCTCCGGACCCTGCTGCTGGAGCTGGCCGCTTCCAAGAGGCCTTTCGGAAATTGTGGGAACGCCAAGGCAGAGCAGGGAGGAGGAGGAAGAGGAGGGCCCGGGGACGAGGCCCCGGAGGAGCAGCGCAGGGCGGGACGTGGGGCCCAGTGGCGAAGGGCCCCGGAAGGCAGGGCTGGCTCAGGGGGACGCCGAGCGGGATCCCTGGCGGTGGAGCCATCGGGACACGGGGCGAGGCCAGGCGCCTCCCCCATCTCGCCTCCCCAGAGCCAGCGGAACGGTGACCCAGCGGGAGAGCCGGCTGCTGGGTCCGGGGGAGAGCCGGCCCGACGCAGCTCACGGCCCCGGAAGCTGGCAGGCGTGCCCAAGCCAGAGGCAACAGCCGGGGAGGGACGGGGGGGGCGCTCACATGGGCGATGCTGATGCCGCAGTAGATGGAGAAGGCGGTGGCCAGGTCCTCGTCGAACTTGCTGAACCAGGGGCCGTTGATTTTGTTGACCAGCTCCGCCACGCCGATGACCTCTGGAAGCAGCGGAGAAGGGCGATGGCGGCAGGCCGGGCGCGCTCGGGGAAGGAAGCGCGCGCTCGGGCTGGGCTGCCGCCACGGCTGGCTGGTGGTGCCTTCCCCGGCAGGCAGGAAGCTGGGCCTGGGCGATCCGTGGGATCTCCCCCGGCTCCCGGGGATAATGGGTCTCGTCAGACATCAAACACAGGCTCCGCATGAGCTGCCCCGGAAATCAGCAGGACCCGCTCGACTGGGGGCTGAACCTCCCGGGCAGCTGTGGTGCCCCCCGAAAACCGAGTGGGGACACTGGCGGGTGCGGCCCAAGGGCAGGAGGCGTGGGGGTCACGCCCCCCCCGTGCCTTTCCTCCTTGTGCCCACAGACAATCGCCCTCTGTGGGGGTTCCTTGGCTGGGAGGGCAGGGAGGGCTGAAAGGGGCCGTGGGGGTGCCCTCCCTTCAGCTCTGCCCCATTGCGCAGCTCCTCCACCCCGCCCCCCCACCTGCCCATCTCCAGGGGGCGGTCTGGGTGGTTCCTCCCCTGTGGGGGCCTCGGGACCTCTTGAGGGCTACGGGCAGCTGCTCTGGACCACAGTGCCTCCAGCTTCCCTGCGGAGACCCTTCCAGCCTCCGACGGCGCCCACCTGCCCGGCCTGGGCCTCCTGGACAAGAGGCTTCCTGTCCTGGCCGCACGGCCCCCCGGAGTCCCGGGTCTCCAGCTGCCCCGAGTCCGGCCCTGGGTGGTCCTTGCGTCCAGGCCCAGCAATTTGCTCCTGCCAAGCAGCTGGTTTCCTGGCTAACGACTCGCTTCAGAGGGCTGCCTGTGGCCACGATCTGGGTCCATGGCAGGAGAAGGGGATGAGCGAGAAGGGGGCGGGATGGGGGGCGGTCGGGGGGCCGGGCAGAGGCAGCAGCAACGCCACCCGCCTGCCAAGCTGGCCTGGGAGGACCGGAGGACCAGCACCGCGGCCGGAGACTCTCCACACCAGGAGTAGTGCATCCGGGGTGCACGCGCCCCGCTCAGGCGCACGGATGCCAGCGGAAACAGTCGTGGCGCGGACTGGGCGGGCGGCAGCCTCTCCCGAGCTTCTTCTGGAGGACAGGCGGCAGTGCCTGGCACGAGCAGCACGGGGGCAGCCGAGCCCCCTCACTCCTTGGGAAGCCACCGCGACGGCCCGGGGTGACACCCGGCGCCCCCCGCCCCGCCTCACCGTGGTTCTCATCCTTGATGGGGAAGCACAGGATGTTCCTGGTGCGGAAGCCGGTGCTGTCGTCCACGCCGCGGTAGAAGAGCGGGTGGGAGTAGGCATCCTTGATGTTGAGGATCTTCCCCGTCGTCGCCACGTGCCCAGCTATGCCCTGGTCGGCCGGGATCCGGATTTCGTAGCTCTGCGTCCAAGAAAGGCGGACCCATGAGAACCCCGCTCCCCCATCCACAGGGACGGCCGCTCGCTTCCCGGCCGCTCGGCCTCCTAGTTCTCCCATTCCGTGTTTGGCCCATCCCTGACCGTGGTCTCATGTATGCGTGTGATGCACGCATTCATAACACTCGTATGTGGCTCGATGAAGCAGAATTCTAAGCATTTTACATGTTAAACCACCTTAATCAGGATTGAAATAGTCTAGAGTTACAAAGATAGCGGAAACAAGGAACCCCAAAGAAAGCGCTCAGTTTATCAGTCACCAGGCAGGGAGAGCATGTTTCTCCCAATGCACACATTTTTCTTCATAATTTTGCCCACATTTCTCAACGCTGGTTTCACAAATGCACACATTTTGGCGTGCACTTTCCCCCGTGGGCACAAGCTGTGTACACGTGCATTGATGGAAGGACCAGCCTGCAATTCACACGTTTCCACTTCCAATTCCAAGTTTCAGCTCTGAAACTGCCACATCCTAGACTCTGAAACTTGAAATAGGGATGCCAGATTCGTAATTCTCGCACCGGGCAGCAGATCGTGGGATTTCGATCACAATCCCACTCACAATCCCGTAATAATCCAGTCTGCTCCAGAGGGACGTTGAATGCGCATGGTGAACAGGCCACCCTCCTCCAGCCACACCAGTCCCTGCCCAGGGCTGCCCGTGCTGGGGGGCACCGGCCGGTCTCCGGAGCCTTGTTCGCCCACCCCGGCTGGCCCCCCGCACCTTCCTGAAAGAGCCAGGAGCGGAGGCGCTGCTGGCCCACGGCACCCCCGCAAGAGGGAAAGGCGGAGGCCCCCGCTGACGCGCTCACCTCGTCGTCCACGACGCCCCCGTCGAACACCTTGGCCACCAGCTCGTGGCTGCCCCGATCCAGGAGGAACACGGAGCATCTGCAAGAGAGAGGCGTGGGAGGCGCGTCTTCCGCCGGCCGAGGCAGGAGCCAGGAAGGCCGCACGCTTTTCCACCGTGGGAGCATTGCCCCCCCCCACCCCCGCACAGGCGAGGCTTTGTGCCCCGGCCCCGGTCCGCCCTCAGGCCCAGCTGCTGAGGGGCAGGGGCAGAAGCGCAGGCCGGGCTCCTCGGGAGCAAGGCCTCAGGCGCTTAAACCCAGCGTTGCCATCGTGAGCGGTGGGCTTCTCGGGAACGGGGGGAGGGGCCGGGGCGGGGGGGGCCACCTGAGCTTCCAGGCCTGGATGCACCAGGCGAAAAGGGGGCGCCCCATCTCCCACCGCCAACCTTGCCTTCCGGGGCACTGGCCCAGCTGCAGCCTTTCACATTCATCTCGGGCCTCTGCCAACCCCCCTGGCCCATGGGGGTCAGGGCAGGAGGGAAGCCCCCCCCCCCAGCAGGGGCTGCTCTCAGGCATCGGCAGTGCCCACTGGGGCTGAGCAGGGAAGGCCTAGGGTGGGCTTCCCCAACCTGCTGCCCTCCAGAAGTGTTGGACTACACTTCCCAGCATCCCCTAGCAGGCCTCAATGGAGAAACGTGGCCTAGGGGCAGAGAACCAAGGAGGCCTTGGCCCGTCTTGGCCAGAAGAGCCCACACGGCTGGCAGCAGCTGCTCCCCGAGGTGTCCGGTGGGAGCCTCCCCCCCTCCCTCCCCGGGGGGGCCTTCTGCCCACGAAGCGAGGGCTCTGCGCCTGCCCAGGGGCCCATGCCCCGGACGCTGCCCCTGCACGGAGGCCCCTAGCGGAGGCTGGCAGACCCAGGAGGCCTCAGCCCCGGGCGTGCTGTGCGCCAGAGCCCGGGCTGCAGGAACCAGCCCCACCGGCTGGCATCAGGGCAAGGGGGACGAGGCGCCCGAGCCGCTGAGCGGGGAAGCCCCCCCACCCCCGCAGGGATGCTCTCAGCAAGGAATGCCCCGCAGCTCATGGAGGGGGTCTAACCAATGTAATCAATGCTCTTTATTAGAAATGCCCCTCCTAAGCGGCTAGTAAACAAATCTGCATTGGCGAGGCATGGGATAAACGAGGGCAGCTTCTGCGGAGCTCGACTGAAAACGTCTCACAGCCCTGCTGACCGAGGCACGGGGGGGGGGGGGGGTAGGGCTGGTCTCTGCCTGGATATGCACAGAGCGCCCCCTCCCTCCTCCGCTTCCGGGCATCCGCTGCCCCTGGGCTCTGAAGTCGGAGGAAAGGGGCAGCGGTCTGTGCGCCCCCGGCGAGGCCCGCGGGTGACCAGGGCTGCCGCGGGGCTTCCTGCAGATCTCGGGGTGCCGGGGGTGGGGAGGCGCATCGCTCCTGCCCTGGACTCCATCTCAGCACCTGCCCTTCATTTTTCGCCTTTTCCCTCGGTGCCTCCTGGTTTGCATTCCGCAGCTCGGCTCTTCTCCCGGGGACAAGGGAGGAGAACCTTGCTTTTCTGTGCTCCTCCTCGCAGCGATTTTGCCCTGGGTTAGCGCTCTCAGTGCCGACTTTTCCACAGATGCTTTGCACTGCTCAGGTTAAGCTCCACTCGCTCTCCAGGGAGATCTTACTTTGCCCTCATCAGAGGGAGCTTTCCCTGAGCTGGATGTCTGCACAGCTCTGAGCAGATCAAAACCTCGCCTCTTTTTCATCCCCTCCCTTCTATTTTCTTCCTTGGGGCAGCTCAGAATTGATCGCTTTTATTGTTAAACCTTTGCATTTTTCACCTGGAGTAATTTCCTAGGATCCCACCTGGATCACGTGAGCATCTTCCCAGATGCTTTTCTGTGGGAGAGGTGGAGGTCTTTGCTCCTTTCTCTTCCTTCATCTTTGAGCTACCTGGCTGGGAACGCGGCAAAGCCTCGCGGCTGAGCAGGCGGACTTGAGATGAACAAGCGTTCAATTACTGTAGTTTTGCTCGCTGCTGTTCCTGCGGGCCAGAACGCCTTCACCTTTTGCTTTAATATGGTTCGCATCATCTCATTTTCCCCAGCAGAGCTCAGGAGGTGTTGGATGGGCATTAATCTGGCAAGCTGTAATCGAGCGAAGCAGTGCAGCCCCACCTTCCGGAGTATAATTCATAATTACCGCCTGCTTCGACGATGCACGCAAGGTTTCCTTCCAGTTCTCCCTTCTCCAAAATCCACTGACTGGCAATATGTTTTATTTTTGCGTGGGCGTACCCCACCTTCATCCCGCCTAGGCTGGAATGCATGGCCTGCTTTTCCGCTGTCCGCTTGATTTCTTTTTGGGAAAGCTGATCCCCCCTGGTCCTTCCAAGGCCTCCCACCTCCTGCTCCCTGGGGCCTTTAGAGAGACGCTCAGGGCGGGACTGGCTTCTCCTCCAGCCACTGCTCTGCGGCAGCCACGAGGCCACACATGGCTGCTCAAATCCCGAGCCACACAGTGTTCCAGAGGGTGGGAACCCCGGCTGGGCCTCCTCCTCTCCTCCCATCACGGCTCTGAGGCTTCCTGGGCGGCAAAGCGGCCTTTTTCGCTCAGGGACGTGGCGCATTTTTGGAAGCGCGAATTTGTGCAACCAGCGGGCGAGCACTGAAAGCTGCCTGCCGCTCTGTGCGACTTGGGTGGGATGGATGCAGCTACGCCGGCTTGGGCCCTTTGCCCCGCCTGACCCAGCGCCTGCCCCCCAAGGCAGCATCCTGCCCCCTCGCAGGCCCATGCTGGGTGCGGGCTGCCAGACCCCCGCGTCCCGTCTCTCGGCCATCCTTCCCAGCCCTCCTCCAAATCCGCCTTTCCGGCAACCCTTTGGCTCCATACGCTGCAGCAGCCTCCCCAAAGCAGTGCCCTCCAGATGCACTGGACGACAGCACTCACCACCCCCCCAGCCCAGCCAAGGCTGCCCTGCCTTCACCTGAGTTGGCACGTGCAGCAACAGACACAAGCCCACCTCACTGCAGCCGGCTCGAGTTCCCCCACCCCGTCCCCTGTGCTCAGGGTCAGATTTCAGACTGCAAGCTCCTTGGGGCAGGGCCTTGCCTTGGGAGCTCTGTACAGAGTCCTGTGTTCTGATGGTCCCACCATCCTAATCATCATATTAACTGGGCCTCTTCAGCCTGAAGAAGAGGAGACTCAGAGGGGACCTGTTGGCGACATGCAGGTACGTGAGGGGGTGTCACACAGAGGTGGGCAGAGGCCTGTTCTCCCCTGCAGAGGAAGGCAGGACGCGCTCCAATGAAGCCAAGCTCAGGGCGTCCAGGTTCCATTTGGATGCCAGGAAGCACTTCCTGACAGTCAGGACCCCGAGGATGTGGAATGGGCTTCCACGGGAAGTGGTTGAGGCCCCATCGGTGCGGGTGTTCAAGGACAGGCTGGATGTCCACATGGGAGACATGTCATTAGCAGAGCCGCTAGAGATGGGGGTCAGACTAGATGGCCCAGGAGGCCCCTTCTGACTCGCGCTGTTTCTCTGTTTCTGTATTCCAAGCCAATGTGCCAGGGAATTCTCTGGGACAGACCTGGGGCCTCCAGCTCTTGGCCTGCCCAAAGGGGACAGGAGGGCTGGGAACCCAGGCCTGGAATGCAGTGCCCAAACCAGCGGTGCCCTCAAATCAAAGAGAAGAGACTGTGGGGCAGGAATTCCCTGGAGCCCCAGCTCAGTCCAAGCAGGCCTGCCTAGGCCAAGAGGCAACCTCACTGCGGCCCCCGGCCCCACGGCTGCCTTCTTGGCTCCAAATATGCCAGCCCCTCAAACGACCCGGCTGGAAGGAATTCTCTGGCCAGAGGATCCACTCCCCCCAGTGGCTGGTCCCCAGACCTCCTCCACCCAAGTGAGCCTGCCATGGGGGGAGCTGGCAAGCCCTGAGGCACATGCCCCCCCCCAGGCACTGCATGGGACTCACATTTCGGCGTTGCTGAGGTTCCGCGCCTCGGTGATGATCTCCTGCAGCAGCACCGACACGTCGTCTGCGAGGGGAGGAGGAGCGGGTCAGGCGGCCCGAAATGCGGGGCGGCCTCCTTTGCACGCAGACTGAGCGCAGGAGGGATTTCCGGGGGCGGGGGGGAGGCCCCAGGCGAGGCCCTCCCTCAACAGCCAAAGAGCTCAGCAAGCGGAGAGGTGCAAAGCTGCTTCAGCGAGGGGAAGGCGAAGGAGTGGGACACGCCAACAGATGGTGTGCGACAGGCCTGGGCCAGCAAAACCGTCTGTGCTTGGTGCTGCCGACAAGTGCATGGCGAGCATGTCATGAGTGGAGCCGCTGGGGGGGGGTCAGACTAGATGGCCCGGGTGGCCCCTTCCGCCTCGCTCTGGTTCTGCGTTTCTAAGGCTCAGCCCAGGATGACCCTCCTGCTAAAAATTTGCCCAAGTGTTGCACAGCAACGCAAGCAATACAATTTCAATAAACACCAAGAACCTGAAAGCAGCAACGCGCTGAACTATAAAGCTACCTGATTTAAAGGGCCAGACTAAAAGAGGCCCCTTCTCCCCACTTCGAAGTGCTGAACGAACGGGGGCAGGCCATGCTGCACAGCCACGTGAGGACGCCCCTTCGGGGGCATCCTGCAGACAGGCCTCCAAACATGGAGCCCGCAAGTCGGCCCCTTCTGCGGATGATGTGTGGGGCTTGGCCGGACCCCCAGGCGAGGGGCTGCCGTGGCTGCTACAGACAGCAAAGGACCGTGCATGACTGGCGAGGTCCGTGGCCGGGGACCCTCATCGGCCGATCATTCCTGTTTCAGAGGTGGGGCTTGACCCTGGGGGCACCCCCACTCCAGGGGTTCGGCCCAGCCTTCTCCCTGCCCAGTCCCAGCAGCTCTCTGGGGGGCGGGGGGGGGTTGGAGCAGCGGAACCCTGTGCCCACCCGCCTTCGCAAGAAGGCTGCCGCAGCCCCTCCCGAGACGGTGCAGGCGCAAGCGGGACCCTCACCCAGGTGCGTGAAGAGGTTCTTGGCCACTTGCAGAAGAGCCTAGAGGAGGGCAAGCAGAGGGAGATGAATTAGGGCCGGTGCTGATTAGTTACTTAATTTACTAAGTTATTACTGACTCTGATGAAGGAACGCGGAGCCCATTCCAGCGGGTTTCCTGTCGCAGGCTGGTCGTGTTCTGGTGCACGTGACCCGACCCCAGTCGGGCACGGCCAAGTTGTCTGAACGCCCCCATCACTGCCCCCAGTGGGCCGGGCGGGGTTCTGCGTGCAGGGTGGCCCCACTCCGGCTGGGGCGGCACCCCATGGGGGCTCTGGGAGGCAGCAAAGGGGCAGAACCCAGGAGGAAGAAGCAGGGAAAGCCCCAACGCCAGAGCCCAGTGGAGCCCCCCCACGGGGGCAGGGGAGGGGGGAGGGGAGGGGGGCCCCTCCACGCAGGGCCAGGTGCCCCACGTGCAGCTGGATTCCTGGAGGGGAGGGGGGAGGTCGCCGCTTGGACGGCGGCTGCAACCCCGAGGAGCACGGCTCCTGTGGCTGCTCATCCTGACGGCCCGTGCCGCCTCCGGGGTTGGGGGATGGAGGGCTGCGCACGCCCGCGGCCGGGGAGCATGGTTGGGGAGCCGCTGGCGCGTGCTGGCCTCGCTGTTCCCCGCACACGTGTTCGGCGGGTCCTTGGTCGACCCAGCACGGCGTCTTGTCCGTCCCGAGAGCTGCGGCGTCACCGGGAAGCCCCTCCAGCGACGGCCCGGCTCGCTGCCCTCCCAGGCCCCCCCGAGCCGTGATTCCGCCCCGGGGGGGGGCGCGCACGGCCCCTGGGGCCAGGCCGCTCGAGGGCAGCGCGGGCCGAGCGAGGGCCCCTCCCAGCGGCCGGGGAAGCGGCCGCCCCCGCGGGCGGACCCCGCGCCCCTTCCCCGCGGCGCCACCCGCACCTGCCCGCGGGGGCCACGAGGGGGCGCCGCGCGCGAGGCTGGGGGCGTCCCTGCGCCCCGACTCCGCCTGCCGCTGCCGCCAGTGCTCCCGTTTGCGGGGGGGGGGGCAATCCCAGATCGCGGGGGGGGTGCTCGCTCGGCCGACCCCCCTCTGTTCCGAGGCGCGCGCCCCCGACACGGCGCGGCTTGCGCTGGCACCCTCCGACGGCGCCAGAGCGGCCTGCGGCTGCTTGCGGGGGGGGGCGGCCTCTGCCCCCTCCCGTGGGGCCGGCCCGGAGGGGCTGCAGGGCGCCGGCCTCACCTCTCCAGCCCACGCCTGCAGTAGGTTTTTATTTAAATAAAAAATGTCAACCTAAAATTTCAACCTCCGCCACCGAGCGTGCGCCCCCCCCACCCCCCAGGGCTGCCGCGGCGGGGGGGCGGGCGCTCACCTGGCACTCGCACTTGAGCTTCTGCTCCTTCTGGAAGGCCAGCGTGCTGCTCAGCACCGTGGAGGTGTAGCAGAAGCAGTGGCGGATGGCATGCTCGTCCGCGTCCGTGTAGCTGCGTCGAGAGAGCGGCCGGGCCGGGCGTCAGGCGCGGCTGCAGGCTCCTTGCCACGGGGGCCGCTCTGCCCACCCCCCGAGCCCTGCCGGGCCTGCTGCGGGGCCCCACGCACTGCACGAGCCACTGGATTCCCGGCGGGCGAGGGGGAGGGCGAGGTCGCCGCTTGGACGGCGGCTGCAACCCGAGGAGCACGGCCCTCGCCGGAGCGTGTGGGGCCGGCCGTTTGCGGGCTGGCCTGGAAGCCCCCGCAACCCGGGGCCAGGCAAGCCGCCCCCGCCCCGCTCGGGTCCTGCCCGGCGGCCTCCTGGGCCCCTGGTGAGGCTCGGCCGCGATGCCGCGTTTCCTGCCGGCCGCCACCACAAGCGAAACGCCGTGCGCGCCGGTGTGGCTTTGCATACGGAGATGGATCAAGCGCAGGGGCCTGCACGCATTGCTCGCGTGTAGGCCACTCCTGCGGCGGATCGGCACCGTGCTGCCCCCTCCTGTCCCGAACATTGCGTCCCGCATTAGCCCCCCCTCCCCAGGCTGCCTGCTGAGCGCGCGGCTGCTGCCAGACGCTGCAGCTGGCAGCCCTCAGCACCTGGGTCGCCCGCTGCCCGCGTGGGGGCGGATTCCCAGCGGGAGCAGGTTTCCCCCAGCCCGAAAGGCCGTGCCTCTCCCCGCTGGCGCAGGCAGCCAAAAGGCCAGCACAGGCCGGGCACCTCCTTTGCCTGCGGTCCACCCGCTGACGCCGATGCTGAAGCCGAGGAAGGCGCTCAGGCTGAAAGAAGCCGGGCGCCCCAGGGCAGGGCCCCGCCAGGCCGGGGCGCCTCCGCCGTGGCACGTCCGTGCGCAGGCCCTCCCTGCCCACGCTGCCGCTCGAGGCGGCATGCGGCGTGCAGGCCTCAGCGAGGCGCCTGTCCTCACCGTTCCGGGAGAGCATGCAACCCCCAGCCAGGAGGACGCCGGAGAGTGCTGGGGGCGGTGGGGGCGATCCGAGCCGGCGGCCGCCACTCACCTCTCTCCCCCGAGCTTGTTAAAGGCGCAGGCCAGGGCCACCACCTGCGAGGTGGCCCTGCTGATGACCGGGACGCAGAGCATGGTCAGCACCTCGAAGCCCAGCATGCTGTTCAGCTGCTTGAGTTCCTCCTGGTGGGGGAAGGAGAGCGCGTTGAGGGGGGGCGACTGTTGCCTGAAAGCCCACGGGCTGCACGTGAGGGGGCTCTGCCAGGGACCCTCGCACGCTGCGCTGCAGGCATTCCTTGCATGCAGAAATCTAGCCTGTCAGGGCAAAGGGTCCCTGGGCAGCCTTCTCCCTGACACCCTGCTTTTCCATGTTTGGGGATTTATTTTTTCCTCCCGGCAGAGAAGGTACTTTCTATCTGCATTAAATAAATTACTACTGCGGCCCTTCAGTGCTCTTCTGGAAGCTACCATGAAGCTTTTAACAATATGCATTTTTAAAAATACATTAAAATATGTGTTAAAACAGAAAAAGCAGCCGGGTGAAAACAAAGGGCGTGGCAGGTGACAAAAATACAAAACCCCCCAAAATGCCTTTTTTTAAAAAAAAAAGCATTAAAAAAAACCTTGATATCCTAAGTTGGCTAAATAGCTTACATAAGAAATATATACATGCCAATAGGAAAGCAGTGTAAAAATACATTTGTTGATGCCTTAAAAGGCCTGGGGAAACAAAGGGGTATTTTTTGTACTCCAGAGATCACCAGGTGGGCAGTTCCTCCCTGGAGAAGTGTTGCCAAGGGGCCCAGCCAGGAAGGCCCCGCTGGGAGGCCCCCCCTGCTTGGAAGGCACCTGGCGGAAGAGGCCGTCCTTCGGGTCGTATGCTGTGCGGGAGTCTGAGGGTTGAAGGGCTTCTCCAGAGTGGGGGAATGGGCGTCAGACTGGCCGGTGCGTAGGCAAGGGCAAAGTGGTGCATGCTGGGCCACGGAACCCCACGCTGAGTCCCAGCTGATGGGACCCAGGCGAGCTGCGACCAGGGAAGAGATGCCACGGAGGCAGCTTGATGCCACGGAGCGCCAACCAAGCCGGCGCGCGGTGGCGGCGGATGGGGCATGCCCTGCGCGCAACACATTCAGGGATGGGACAGGGCATTCAAAGGCTCAGATCACGCGTAACAGCCCCGAACCCGTGCGCCACGCCACTCCCCCCGAGCCGTGGCCGGCACCACGATCCATCCAGGTCTGCCCAGCAGCCAGGCGCGTCTCCTGCTTTCAGAAAGACGCCCAGTCTCCTGCCTCCGCCACCGCCATCCACGGCAGAGGGATCCCCGCCGCACCAAGGCACCTGCCACCCCTGCGGGGGAGCCCGGTTCTCGGCCAGCAAGAAACAGCCGGGTGCCCCTCTCTGTCCTCCCTCACAGCCCCCTCCCCAGTCCGAGCCCAGGGAGGGGGTGGGTCGCACAAGGGCCCCGTAAGGGCCGCCTGAGCCTGTTGGGTTTCTGGTGGGCCGGCCCTGCCCTAATGCGCCCCCCCCACTCTTTGCCAATGGCACCACCTCCAGCCCCCGCAAGCCTCAGATTTGCGAAACGGAAAAGCAAGGAGGCCGGGATGCCGGGAGGACCGTGGGCGCCACTTGTCTGGGCAAAACGGGGGGAGGATCATGCAGTGTGGGGAGGGTCTCACAAACCCCCAGGCCTGGCTGTGCTGCGGCAGGAAGGGACCGATGCCAAGCCGCCCTGCTGGTTTTTTCTTCTCAGTGGCCGGACTACGGCCACCCTTGGATGGCTGCGGCGTGGATGTTCCCTCAGATTCGGGGGGCTGGGGGGCATGGCGAGGCCTCGCTCGGCGCTGGGATACTGGCCGTTCGCCCGCCTGCCCTTCCTAAGCAAACCGCCCCTCTGGTGAAGCCACAGCCAGCGGCCTTTCCGCTTTCCTCGCGCCTCTTCTGTTCCCCCTCCCCAGGGCAGTGATGCTCCTCTCGCTCGCCGCCTTCAGCCTCCGGCTCCATCCTCCACGCGGACCTCGCTTCCAAGCCCCCTCCCTCCGGGGAGCCTGCCGGAAGGGTCCCGGAGAGCTCTGCCCCTCTGCAGTCGAGGGACCCGGCACGGAAGGGCCCGTTCAGAGCGCTGCCAAGCGCAGGCCGAAGGGTCTCGCAAGCATCTCCGCGGCGCCCGCTGCACCCCAGAGGAGGCCAAATGGGCGCGTGGCCAGTTCCCCGGAGGTGCGCGCCCGCGGTGGCAAAGGGCGTCGGGCGCCAGGGACCTACCGAGCTGATGTCCTGCAGCCTGAGCGATTTCTTCTCCTCCACCACCTTTCCCAGGCGCCCGACCGTCAACTGTGCAAAGACCGGAGAGAGCCATGAGTCGAGGAGGGCCACCAGAGCCGGACGAGACCGAGGCGGAGAAGCGTTGGGGTTCGGGCGTGAGCCCCGCCGACATGGGCCACGCGCCGGCCGCGTGAGGGCGCGATCCCGCAGCCGTGCTCAGCAGCCGAGAGCCGACACTCCCGGCCAGGTACTTGCAGCCAGAGAAACTGGCCAGGAGCACAGGACGCGGGGGAGAGGCCCCCTTTGTGGCCACGCTGATGGTGTCAATGGGCCGGTGGCTAGAGGAAGCCCGGGGGCAGCTGGCCCCTTGCTTGGACTCCAGACCTTGCTGCGTGGGGGCACGGAGGCCCCGCAGCCCCTGTGACGGTGGGGCAGAGGGCCTTCCCAGCCCCACGCTCCGCAGGGCCCCGCGGCTCTGAGGGACGCGCCAGCACTGTTCTTGGCAGGGGGGCTGATGTCGGGGGCCAGTGTGGGGGTCAGAGCAGGGGACCGGGAGAGGTGGCTTCCAGCGCCACGCAGCCGCAGAGCCGACTGGGTGCGTGGGACCAGTTGCTCACTCTCAGCCCAGCCTACCTCGCAGGGCGGTTGTGGGGAGGATACGCCACCTGGGTCCCCTCGCAAGGGAGAGCAGGGGGGCTCTACGTGCACGCGCTAATAGCGATAACCACCCCACACAGGACCCCCCCTTCTTTCGGAGCTCAGGGGCACTCAGTGGCTGCCCGTATGTCGAGATCACGCGGGAAAGGCTCGTCCGTGGGGCAAAAGACCCGATCCTGCCAGAAACGGAAACCGATCTGGATGGGCAAAGGGTTTCTGGGCCTGGATTTCTGGGCCCTCCCTGGGGACGGAGCGGCAAGGGCTGCCCCGACGTTCCCGGCATCCCATGCCCCCGCCACGCCCCTGAGCGCAACGGGGCACGTTCTGGTCACAGGTCTGCGGAAGGGCCAGCCGTGCGGCCGCCGTGTCCCGTGGCTGCCACGCGTGTGGAGGGCAGCCCACGTGGCCTGCGCCCTCCGGCAGGGGGCGCGCTTGATAACGTTCTGGCAGGGAAGCCGGTCGCCGCTGCGTCGCGCCGGGAAACCGTGGCGGCGGCGGCCACGCTTCCTTTCCGGGGGCGCCCTCGGTGTAGCGGGGACCGAACTTCAGCCGAGCCACCCATCAGGACTCGCGCATTTCGGCTAGTGGCTCGGCAAAGGGCCGCGCTAACGAGACCGGCGGCGTTCCGCTCGAGCGCGGCCGTAATCGGCATTCGCTCGGCGCGCGGCATCGTCCTTATCGTCGCGCCGTGCAGAGCACGGCTCCCTTCCGAGCACCGCTAAATATTCCGGCCCGACGCGATAATGCAGCAGCGCCCGTCAATCCGGGGGCCAGGTGCTCGGAGCTCTGCACGCAGCGCCTCGTGCGCAAGCATCGTCGCTTAACCTTCCGCCAGCCCCATTCACGGCTCATTGTCCGCCTGAGGGATCGGCCGGCGTGAATTGATCGCGCTCGCCATTACGCCGGCCAACTGGCACATCCGCCGGGAGGGGACGGGGACGGCCCGCCGTGCGCTCCTTGCCGTACCCATTCAGTTCAGTGGGACCTGTGTAGGCAGGCTTCCCGCCGGACGGTGCCCCGAGAGCCCTTTGGCCCCTCCCCGGCCCTTCCCAGAAGACTGTCCGCTCTGGAGCGCCCCTCCTGGGGGACCAGCCCGGAGGGAGGTCCCGGGCATTTACTTCCCATCATCACACCCACAGGCTTCCCGTGCGGGGCGGGGGGGCTCCATTTCCCTGGTCAAGCCGAATGTCTGCCCCTTCTCCGAAGAGAAGAGCAGGTGGGGGGGGGGTCTGGAGCTGGCTGGGTGCGGAGAAAGACAAGCGGGGGATTTGTCTCCAGATCAAAACGTACTCTGAGCTGGAGAAGGGTTTTGCGTGTGCCTGTGTGTCTTTTAACTTTTCAGAGCGCTATTAGGTAAACTACAACATCTAAACATTCCATCTACCGAAAGAACGTGTTTATGCTAGATATTTCTGGAGCGCGCCTCCTCTCCGTGCAGGAGGTGGTTTTTAAGGGCCAGTGGGCAGAATCGGGTGCAATGGCGTCCCAGAAAGCAGAACCACAGCACACCCGGCAGGGCCACGAGCCGGGCAAGCTCCGCGAGTCGGAGTGCCACATTCCTCAGCAAAAGCTTGCCGGGAAAGAAGCCTCTGGACTGGCCACCGAGGGGGTCAGGCCAGCGTGGAGGAAGCCGAGCCAGCCTCCCCAGAGGAGGCGGTCCACACCCAGGCACTGCCGAACAAGCCACGGCAAGGCGACCCCCCCGCTTTCCCGATCAAGAGCGCCCGCACGTGCTGGGGTCCCCCTGCTTGGTCTGTTTCTCCAGCCCGGCTTCGTCAGCACGGGCCGGCAGCAGCAGCCCCCCAGGGTTTCAGGCCGGGGTCTTCCCCGGGATTGGAGCAAGGATTGAACGCAGCCCCCCGGCTTGACGGGCCCCATAGCCCTGCCCCCAAGGAGCCTCCAAAGGCTCCAGCTCTTTCTCCCCCTCAAGGTTTCCCACCCCCAGACCCTTTGCACACAAGAGAGGGTGTCATATGAGCCTTGTGCTGCTGGGACCCCCCCCCCCCCCCCCCCGACCCCACCCAGGCTCAGAAGGAAAAGTCAAATCCCAAGCGGGGGGCAGAACCACCCCCCCAAGCCCCCCCCAGGCCTGCAAGCCCAGGCTGCCCCGTGCCCCGAGTTCGCGATTTACTTATGATAAGCATATTCTGCCTTTCCCCTTCCAAGGGGCTCAAGGTGGCTTGGATCGTCGTCCTCCCGCCACCAGCTCATCCCTACAACAACTGCCCTGCAAGGCGGGCTGCACCGAGGGTCAGGGAGCACCATGGCCGAGCGGGGACTAGAACCCAGATTCCCCGAGTCCCAGCCCCGCCCCCAGCCCCCACACCACGCTGGCTCTCTCGTGACCCGCAGGCCAGGACTGCACGCGGTGACGCTGCAGCCATAGTCACACAGGAGTGTGGGGAGCGACGGAAGGGGCCAAGCACTCACGGGGAAGCTGATCTCCTCCTCCAGCACCTTGTCTCCAACGACCTGCAAGCGACAAGAAGTGGGCAGGTGAAACCCCGAAGGAAACCCACGGGGGCGTGGGGTCCATCTCCGGAGAGGCCCAAGTGTGACGGCACAGGAAATCCGCCACCCCTTTGCCTCTGGTAGCGCTTCCGGCTCCTCGGGTCACGGAAAGCTTGGGGTGGACCAAGCGCCAGAAGGAAGCCTCCCCGGGTGGGCCTGACCCTTTTCTCTGCAGTAAGTCCCACGGAGGTTGGGGGGCTTCCTGCGTGGGGGCCGCAGCCCAAGCCCCTGAACCACCAAGCCTTCTTCTCTGCAGCTTCCACCGTCTGCACACCGTCTGAGTTCGCGGGTGCAGAGCCTGAGGGGCGCACGTTGAGCGGGGCTGCAGAATGAGTCCCACAACAAGTGGTCCGGCCTTCCTCTTGGGTGGCTCACGGAGGATTTGCCCCTCCGGAGACGCTTGAGGACGAGGGTGGCTCGTTAGGCCCAAGGCAATCCCCCTGGAGCTGCAAAACCAAGGGCAAGCGCTTCTTCTCCTCCACGCGGGATCCCCCCGAAGAGCGGTGTGCTGCTTAACTCTGAGGAGAATGGAAGCCCCCACTGAAGGTGCGAGGATGGAGCCACCTGCGTCCCGGACGGGGAAGCCGTCTTGCGTCCGCTGGAGATCTGCCGCACGGCCCCGAAGGCCTTTCGGGACAGAAGCAGGTGCTCCAGCAGAGCGCCTGTGCTCAGCAGCCAGGCACGCACGGAGGCCCGTGTGGGTGGAGCCCTGCGCACAAATGCCACCAAGGAGCGGCGCAACGGTCGGAGTACAAGCAGGAACACAGTGAAGCCCCGGCAAGGCCTAGAGGCGCTCAGCATCCTTCTGAGGGCCAGCTCTGGGGCTGGAGACAGACCTCCGCCCTTGGGGTGGGGCAACGGTGTGCGGGTCAGAGGCCCCCCGCAGCCCGGGCAGCCGCTGCTCCTCGCTCGGAGAGGCAACTCGGAGACGGGGAGCAGCGGGAGGAGAGGAGACGGGGGGCGCCTGGCTTGGGTGGATCCTGGCAGGACCCCAGCCCCATCCCCCCCAAACGGCAGTCTCCGAGTGGAATTGCAGCATGGGAGGTGTGAGCAGGGAAAGCCGAGCGCGGAGGCTTCCAGGCATCCCCGGCGGATCGAGGCAAAGCTCTGCCATTTAAGAGGCCGAATTAGAGAGAGGTGTCCACATGCCTTTCTGAAAAACCAGGAGCGGTGCTTTTGCCAACTTTATGCATGGGGAAAATAATCCGGCACGGACGCCGTTTTGCTCACCTGGCAGAAGAGCTGGTGGTTGTCCTCGGACACCAAGAGGAGGCAGCAGCAGAGCGACCGGGTCTCCCGTTTCAGCTGCGAGCGAGAGCAGGAAATAGAGTGGGGGGTCAGCCACCTTCCCGGTCCTGGCCCCTCCCCGGGGTCTTCCAGAGGCAGACACAGCGGTGAGCCGGAGATGCCTCTCGAAGACGCGCGGCTCGCGGCGGCGGGCCGTGCCTCGCGTCCGCTGCAGTGCCGTGGGGAAATTATTCTTTCAGATCGTTCTAAAAGCCTGGTTTTCTATCGCGTTGTGTGTGTCCTGCGAGGTGCTCCGCGATCTCAGGGTGTTAAGCTGTGCAAAAGTGCTACCGATAAATCAATGCGATAAAAGGCCAGGCACGTGTGGCGGGGGGGGGGGGGGGCTCCGAGCGTGCCGGGTTCTGCGATCGATGACTCACTGCTTGTCTTGGGCCTGATTCCCGTCCAAGGTTGTGATTGTGGCTCGCTCTGCACACACAGGGAAATGGCAGCCGTTGAGCAGGTGCAGCTTTCCCGCAGAGAGCCCCAGCTTGCTGCCCATGTTAAACGACTCTGGGGTTGAGTCTGCCCAGGGAAGACTGCAGATTCAGACGTTGCACAAGATGGAAGCGGGAGGCCGCCCAGAGCGAACGTCTGCAGGCCTCTTCAGCGGACGCCCGCTCAGGAGAGCATATGGGGCTCTGGATGAGGCCACGCTCTGAGCCGGGGGTCAGACTAGATGGCTCGGGAGGCCCCTTCTGACTCACTCTGTTTTGCAAGCATTCACCACGTTCACGTTTGGGGCCTCATATCTCCCTTGGCCCCGTTGGATTCTCAGCCCCTCCCTTGCTTCACGGCTGGTATGGAAAGAGCGACCCTGGCTGCTTCTGCGAGGTCGGAAGAAGGGGGCAGGGAGGGCTGGGGGGCAGGACGTGTCCCGCCGGGGCTGGGGCCCCCTTCCTCCCTGCACGAGGTGCCGCGGCTGAAGGACTGCAGACCGGGAGGGATGGGGAAGGGCCTTCCCCGCTGAACTCTCCTGCCATGCTCACAGAGTCCATAGCCCGCTGGGGTCGGGGCCACGTGCTCACCCTCTGTGTAAGCAGGGTCTTGGGGGAGCTTCGTGGGCCCTAGCAGGCCACGCCGGCCGTCAAAAGGCCTCGCTCCGAGGATTCTGCCAGCCCCGCAAAAACCATTTGCTGAAGCTTTATCTGATCTTAACGGGTGCTTTATTTTGGTCGGTTGCACAGGCCGTGCAGGTCCCTGCCTTGCCTCGGTGCGGCTCAGGCGAGAGCGACGGGGCCATGAAGTTTCATGGTTTATGGGAAGATGTGAGGACCGTATGCCGCAGCGGCAGATGGCAGCGATGCGCAGCGATGCGCCCCCAACAGACGGGCGGCTGCCGCACGCGGAGCTTCGCTGCATCTCGTTCCCTCGACTTGGACGGTGCCCAAGCCCAGCTGCTGACAACTCGTTAGCAACACCGCAGCTCGTTCAAGAGGGCTTCCCCCCTCCTTTTTAAAATAATTGTTCACGTTAGGCAAATAAAGTGAAGCGGAGTGGACAAGCCGGGACGGAAGCCCCGCGAAGGAGACCTTCATTTCCCAAGCCGGATTTCACACACGGCCCTGAAAGAGCCTTTTCGCCCCCCCACCCCCACTGCTGGGGGGCAGCTGTGAAAGACGGAAATGCCGCCTGCACTGTGCCAATTAGGTCCGACTGGGGCGTGCATGGGGGGGCAACGGGGATATTTATTTAGCGGCTGGGTTTGCAAGCGCCCCCACTTTAGAGCCATGTGGGGGGGCTCCCAAGCGGATGGCCCCTCCTCTCAGCGCACGGGGTGGATGCAGCGCCCTTCCAAAGGGAGCGGCAGGGAAACGAGAAAGGCGGCAGGGCTGCTGGCTGTGGGGGGGTCGCCCCCCCAACCCGCCCCCCCCAGTCTGAAAGGCCTCAACGGCTTTGCAGAAAACGGCCCCGCCGCGCGTCTGCCTTCTGTGCTTGCAGGGCGCCCGTGCGCAGCAGGACCACGGCCTGGGCAGGGCGCGAAGGGGAGGGGATCGGCCGCCCCGTTTGGACCTTCCAGGCCAAAGCCCGTGCGCAGCCCCCCCCCCCGTTGCCGGAACACAGGGGGGGGGGGGACGCTCGCAGCTGCTTCCTGCCCCCGACGGTCCTTGCAGCCACCAGGAACAGCCGCGGTTCTCCAGGTGGGTTGACCAGCAGTGCCCACCCTTCCCTCCACTGACCACTGGCTGGGCACAATGGGAGTTGTAGTCCAACCCACCTGGAGGCAGGTGCACACAGCCACTTCCACCACCTTGCCCTGTCCTCTGGCCAGCAGGAAAATGGCACGGACCCAGGAGAGTCTCAGTAACTCAGGGGTGGGGAGAGGCCTGTTCTCCCCTGCAGAGGAAGGCAGGACGCGCCCCAACAGAGCAAAGCTCAGGGAACCCAGGTCCCATTTAGATGCCAGGAAGCACTTCCTGACAGTCGGGACCCCCAGGGCGTGGAATGGGCTTCCCCGGGAGGTGGCTGAGGACCCATCGGTGCGGGTGTTCAAGGGCAGGCTGGACGTCCACATGGTGGGCATGCCGTGAGCGGAGCCGCCTGGAGCCGGGGGTCAGACTAGATGGCCCGGGAGACCCCTTCCGCCTCGCTCTGTCTCAATGTTTCTAACTCCCTCCATGAAGAAAAACAGGGCAGATGTCTGCATTGCGGACAAAGTTTTCCTCTGGATCATGGAGGACATTTTCTCACACTGCTTCATATCCACTTTCCTTCCCCCCAGGGAAGGGGCCCAAGAAGCAGGGAGTGACTCAAAAGGGCGAGGAGGAAGGGCGACAGGCAGGGCCACAGAATGAGCCCGTCTGCAGGGCAAGTTCCCAAGGCACCGCTGGCAGACCTCGCCCGCCCCCTCCTGTCCCCGGAGCAAAGCGGACACCTGCGTCACCCTGGCCGGGGGAGTGGGCCGGTGACCCCCTGGTGGGGCGATGCCGCACAGGAACCCTCCTGGCTGTCCCCCCTTTTAGCTGCCGGGTTGCTCAAGAGGCACAGACTTTCTCCGGGTTGCAGCTCAGCTGGGAGAGAGACGAGCTGTCCGCCGTTGGCCGGTCACCCTCCCTCGCGGTCCTGTCCTTCTGCGCCGTGCCTTTCCTGGCAGCACGCGGTCGGGCAGGGCGCACCCTCGGAGCCTTCCTACCTTAAAGAGGTCTTCCCGAAGCCCTCGCACCAGCTTGTCTGTGCAGCAAGCTGACCTGAGCCCTCCCTTTCATCACACTGCTTTCCAGACTAACCCCCTTGGGGCAGGGACTGGTCCCTCCTTGAAAATCACCCTGCCATTTTGCTGCCTGCCTGCCTCCCAGCCTCCTCCTCCTCCTCCTCCTCCTGCGTCTCATGCAAAGCCTCTTAACCGCCCAGCAGCGAGTCCCATGTGGTCCCTCCCAGCCCCCAGATCGCCGCACGGCTACGGCCGAGCGAGCCAGAGCCCTGCGGTGGGTCGGTCGGCACCTGGAGGCGAGCCAGGACTGGGGGCGGCCGAGGAGGCATAGGCCGCCCTGCTCTGTGCCCCCCAACCCTCCGCCTCCCTGCGGCCGGCAGAAGCTGCGGGACGGAGCGCCGCTCCCCGGACACTCACGTAGTTGATGACTTTGAGCTGGAGCGAGGCGGCGTCCAGGTCGTACAGCTCACCTGCAGGGGCAAGGACGGGACGTCAGCCGCCGCTGCCACACAGGCAGGTTGTGGCCGAGCGCGAGGGGCCCGTGCCTGGCAAGGCGCCCTGGCCGGAGGCAGCGGGCCACGGACACCCCCCCCGCCGTGGTCTGCTGGCTGGGCAGGTGGGGACCCTCTTTCCGCCTGGGGATCCTGTCCCCCACAGAGCTGCCCTTCCTGAGATTGCTCGGGGCAGTTGGGCATGTTTCTTGGACTAGCCGCTTCAGCTGGAGTCCTTTGAATCCTGGGGGTTTCCTTTCCCGCCGCGTCTTCCCGCCCCACAGCCTCCATTCGGCGGGGCGAGAGGCATCACCCAGGTAGCCGCTTCTTTTCGGGAACAGCCGGTGTTCCTCTTCACAAGGAGTGGGAAAGGGCGTCTGATGGGAGGGGGCGTCTGGCGCCTGCCAGAGATGCAGCCCCAGGCCGGCAGCCTCCGCTTTGAAAAGGGACCTTGGCTCCCTCCTGAGCTGATTTGGCCGGCAGAGGCGGGCAGACAACTTGCCCGTCTCCAGAGCATGCGCTCATCCCATGTGCGCCTCCACTAAACAGCTTTGGCAGGTTTTTGGACTAGTTCAAAAACCTCCGCAACCTGTTTAAGCAGAGACAACAGTGGGCCAAAAGACCCCCATCGGGGTGGGTAATGTTTTTCTGCCAAGGGCTGCATTCCCTCAGAGGCACTATCAGGGGCTGCACGTGAGGGATGGCGATAGCCAGAGGGCGGCGAGTCGCCCCTTCCCCATTTTGCCCCCCCCGCCCCTCCCTCTCCCTCCCTCCCGGGCAGCAGGCTTCCACGCCACGCTTGCCCGAGGCTGATGCAGTCGCGTGCAGAGGGCTCTGGAACAAGACGGCCTGGAGTCCGGCTGAGGGGCGCAGGGCCCGTGCCGTAGGAAGGGACACCCCCACCCCACCGACCCCTCCAGCGGTCTTCTCTCCCCCCTCCCCCTCTCAGGATGCAGTGCCGCCTCCCGTCCCTCAGAGCCTCCCTGGCTGGCCAGCCGGCGGCCCTCCACCTTACCGCACAACTGCAGGATCTTGCGGTCCAGGTCGCTGTAGGAGCTCTTTGGCGTCCCGCCGGTCTCCGCCAGGGAGTTCTGCGGCGAGCCGGGGGGCAGGCTGGCCTGCGGCGAGGGCTGCAGCTTCTGCAGCGCTTGGATGCGCTTGTAGGACACCAGAATCTGCAAGAAGCCAAACCCGTGGCAGGCAAGACACGGGGATTAATGAGGAACGGGCACGGCCCGCCCGGAGGCGGGGAGGCGGCTGCAGAAGCGTGGGCCACTTTGCGCGGCCCACGGGCGGGCGGCAGATTCTGCCGTGCGGCTTTGCCAGGGGTGCCGCCGAACGTCCTTTTGCGAATCCTGAGCTTCCCAAGATGGGCTTTCTTTGGGTGAGCCCATGAGGGATGCGTGTCGGGAGCCCCGCCGGACTGGTTTTGCAGCTTACGCATTTGTGGATGGATGGATGAGTCTTAAGCAGGAGAGAGGGGCTTATCTCTCCATGCCAGGTGTAATTAATTGTCCATATTTGATTGATTGTTTGATATCCTGCCTTTTTCCTACAAAGGGCTCAAGGCAGCTTACATCATTCCCCTCCTCCATCTTATCCCCACAACAACAACCCTGTGAGGCAGGCTGGGCCAAGAGCCTGTGACTGGTCCAAAGTCACCCAGTGGGCTCCATGGCCGAGCGGAGACTCGAACCCGGATCGTCTGAGTCCCAGTCCCACGCTCTTCACCACTACGCCACACTGGCTCTCACATATATCCCAGGATGATGCACCTTTTCCTAACCTAACAGCCCCAAACATTGCAAACTTTTCTTCTAGGGGAGCTGCTCAACCCCCTGATCATTTTGGTGGCCGTTTTCTGGCCCTTTTCCATACATACAATATTTTTTGAGGTGTCCAAGTCAGTGTGAAGTGGCCCTTTACCTCTACTTTGCACATGCTCAGATGCAGCTTTTTCTTTTTTCTGCTGCTCCACACCTTCCAAGACCCTGCTCCTGGGCAAATCTTTGCTGTGCCTCTGGCCAGCCAGGCCCCCTGCCTCTGCCGTGAACGAGCCGGGCCCCGGGACAGTGAAGCCCCATCAGTTCCCAGGCCACATAGAGGGGCCCCAAGGGAAGTGCCCTTCATGGCAGGGGCGATGGGAGAAAGAGCAGGTCGGGCTGGGAGGACGCTTTTCAACTGCTGGGGGGCCCGGCCCTCCCGTCTTGCAGGGGGCCCCACATGGCAGAATCCGGCTGGCCACCGCAGGGAAGGCACGTCGGACCGGAAAGGCCTCAGCCCTGCTCTGGCTTCCGGGCGCTTCTTCCTTTGCCTGTCCGGCAGCGGGGGTGGGCAGGGTCTGCTCAGGGGACTCGCCCCCAGAAGGGACTGCAAGCCAGAGCCGGATGGCCAGCCCTGCTCCACTGACTGACCAGCCGGCCGATTCCTGCTTGCATCTTCGCAGGCATCGGAAGACCGGAGCCGGGCCCGGGTTCAGCACATGCACTGTCGTTCTCCGCTGGTCGAACGCACTGGTGCTTCTGAATGAGACCTGTATGGTTTCTATACGTCCGATGCACCCACGCTGGCGCGCCTGTAACCCTTCGCAAGCGACCCTGAATGCAGCTGCTGAGAGAGGCGGATCCACGTGTGGATGTAGAGAGGCGGAGAGAGAGAGAGAGACGGAAGCTCCGGGCTCGCAACTGTGGCCCCAGGGAGAAACTGACCTCAGAACGGCCGTGGCCAAGGTGCAGCTGGTCTGCCCCTCCCAGACCCAGCACAGGTTCAGGCGCGATCCGCAGGCAGCACCGCACCCCTCCAAGCTTGCCGCCGGATTTGCAGGCCAAACTAAATGTGTTTGCCATGCGTCCATTTGAAAGACGTGCATTTTGCACGGGCTTCAATCCACGAGGGAGGATGATGTGCGCTTGCAAAGAGTGATGTGTGCTTTTGGAAAAACACACACATGGGGATGTTTTGTGTGGCAAGAAAGACAGGAGGGGGATCTGATAGGGCTGCGAGGCAGAATGAGCGTTGAGGCCGCACTGGGACAACGCTGCACCTCGCTTTGCTCCACACACACAGCGATGCACGTGGCCGTGCGTCTCGTTCTCTCCGCGCCCCTTCTCAGGCCAGGTGGCTTCGGCTGGAGGCCAAGGTCTGGCATGCACGCGCGGGCTTGCCAACTGTTGCTCAGGCTCCAGTAGAAACCGGAGAGGAGCAGGAGCTGCCCCACCCGAAATGTGGGCAGCCGAGCCCGCAGTGTGGATTGGAGGAGCTGGACCGATGGGAGCGTTTCCGCAGGCTGGGCTTTTGCTCCAGAGGAGGAGCGTGCGGCGTGCAGGGGAGCTGGGATGAGGGTCCCGCGGCACGTCAGGCGGCGGTGGGTCGAGACGCCCCGTGTGGCTCTCAGCCCTGCTAGGAACTCACCCAGCATGTGGAGGAGCACTGCAGCAGACCCAGTCCTCACCAGAAGGGCATCCGGACCATGGCGCGCAAAGCCGCCTGATCCCCGGGAAGGCTTCCCCCGACCGCGATCCCCCTGGGCGCAGCGCTCCGTGTCCGAGGGCCTCCCCCAGACGCCGCCTCCCAGGGACGCTCGCTGGGAGAAAGGGGCCCTTCTCTGTGGCAGCCCCCCCCCCCCCCATTCTAGGACCATCTTCCTAGGGCAGCGACTCTGCTGCCCTTTTCAGTGCCGGGTCAGGGCTGCCCTCTAAGCCGAGGCAGCCCGCCTAGTGAAGTTGTTTGCAGCCTGGTTTTTAAAACGCTGTAGTGAAATTTTGTGGCATTGCACTTCAGAAATGGTTGCCCTCTGCCCAGAGTTTTGGCAGTTGGGTGGCACAGAGATAAAATGGGGGGGGGGGGGGAAAAAAAGGGGGGCCAGGGTTAAAGCCGGGGGGGGGGGGGGGGGGGGGGGGGGACGCGCGCTCGGCCTCACTCACGTGCTTCTCCAGGGCGCGCAGGTGGAGCTCGTCGGACTCGCAGAGCGGGCCACAGTGCACCTGCAGGCAAGCAGAGCCGGTCAGCGGGGGCCCCACGGACGCGCCTCCGGGCTCCCCCCCCGCGCCTCCTCCGTTCCCGGTCCACGGAGGGAGGCAGGACCACGCCACGCGTGGCACCCCGGCAGATCCCTGCCCTTCCCGGAGGACTCGGCGCTTTGCAGGCACGTCGCCAGCCAGTTGCTGCTGGACGGGCCACCAGCCACGGAGACGCCCCCTCGGCGATGCACGGCCGTGCCGCTCCCCGTCCGGCCTGCCGCGTCCCGTCCAGCTCGGCCTCGGTTTCCACACGCGGCAGCACCAGGAGAGCCACGCGCCACCCCGCTCGCCTTTCCCGTGCCACGGCGTCACACGCTTTGGCCGACGGCAGGAAAGCACTTCCAGGCCACCGCGGAGGCCTTGCACGAGCCTGGCAGCGGGGCGATAGCGTCACAGTTCCGCACGATGCGCCAACGGCCTCTGGGCATGTGAAAGGCGGTTGCACAGCAGCCCCAGAACCTTCTGAGATGCCCTGCGCGTGCCAGCGCCCGGCTGTGGAGCTTGGCTTGCTTCCGGGGCTGATTCAGTCCCAGCCAAGCCCATAAACCGGGTGGGAAACGCAGCCTGGACTGAATTCTATGCTGCCTCCTGGCACTTCAGCGTCGTCTGCTGACTTTTATTTAACCTTCCATCTTTCTGCTCTCTTTCCCCCTTCCCGGCTCTGTGCAGAGCGCGTGGCTCTGTCATATTTCTGTCTGCTGGTGTCGCTGTTTAGCAGCACCTCCATCAAAGTACAAAACAGGCAGTCCCTTTCCAGCAACTAGCTGGAAAATAACCGGTCTCTTATTTGTTCCCTGGGGTTCGGAGAGGGAAAAAATAATTACATTTTTCTGAGACCAGATTACCCATGTCTTGCACAAACCTGCCACAGCCTCAAACCAGAATGAGAAGGCCGAGAGAGAGAGGCTTTGGGGGAAGGGGGGCTGTTCCAAGCTGTGAAAGCTTCAAGGCATTGCTTCCCTCCGTGTGAGTTTTGCAGACCCACATGGGATGAGATGGGGGGGGGTGATTGTGCAGAGTGAAGACGCACGTGGTCCACACGCTTGGAAGAGCGGGTTTGCTTTTTCTTTGGTGGGCCACGGCAGCCCCCCCCCCCCCCGTTTCGAGCTGCCCCCGTGCTTCTGCCCATCTTCCCTCCCTGGCGCTGGAAGCCGAGGCCCAGCAGAGGCCCCTGAGGACGGGGAGAGGTCGCATCTCAGGATCTGGGGCTGGTCCGTACCATCGACAGGGTGGGATCTCAGGCTGGCCTGGAAGCTTCCTCCCGTGCTCATTTATGGGGTGGCTGGTGGGGGAGGCCCACCAGATCCCCCCTCGGGCTGCTCCGTCCTGAGCGAGTGCCGTTTGGGGCGGGGGCACGACTGTAAACTGCCATTCGGCTGTCCAGGGAGGCGGGAAGGCTGTCGTGAGCCTTGCTGCCTTGCCCTCTGCTTCTCCCGGGCAGCCAAAATGCCCCCCAGGCTTGGCCTGGAAAGGGGGCGTGTGTTCTGCACTGGGTGTCTTGCCCACAGGAGGCATTGGTTGCATGTCCACGAGCGGGAGGCAGTGGCGGCAAATGCCCGGCAGTCCTACCAACGGCCTCGAAGGCCGAGAGAGCTCTGCACTCTGGGGACCCTTTGGAAGTGTGGGGCTCATCCTGGCCCACACCCCCAAGGAGAATCTAAAGCCGCAGGCGGCAGTATCGATTGACCAAAGGAGCAGGTCTTTGGTGAAGGTCACAGGTCCGGAGTGCCCGTTCCAGATCGCGGCACCCCAGAATTCTTGGTGGTGCAGCATCGGTCGCTCATAACAAGACACCGTGCAGGGAAAAGCCACCCTGGCCGTGCCCTTCCTCCCTGGCGGCCGCGAGGGTGGCGGCTGCACTCACAGGGCCCAGGACGGCAGGGCGGGGGCCAACAAAGTCCTGGGACGGGGCCCTGTGAGCCCGAGCCCCCCACTGAGCCAGTGAGGCCTGGGGGAGAGCCTGGGGGCCATGTCTCGTCCCACGCAACCATGCAGCTCCCGGGGCGGGGGGGTTGGGGCCGTCACTCTCAGCCGAAGCCACTTCACAGGGCCGCCGCACTGAGGATAGACCGGAGCGGAGTCGGTGAGCTGCCTTGGCTCCCTCACAAGAGGAGGCCGCCCATAAACGCAGCGCAACGCTAACGGACCCCGACTTGCACCGACCCCAAGGTGGTCCCCCGCTGCTGCCTCGACCCAGAGAGTGCCTCAGCCCTGTGCCCTCCCGGCTCTCTCGCTCCGTCTCTCTCTCTCACCCACGGCAGATCCCGGCCAGGACTGCCATTTGCCTGGCTGAAGGGGTGCCGGGGGAGGCCGAGCGTCTGGTGCCGCAGCCCTGCTGGAGCGTGTCCCTCCTGTGCCGCTGCCACTCTGGAAAGCAGGCCCATTCGCCTGCTCTTGGCACACGGGGCAGGTGGGTCCTCACGCACAGCTCACGGCTCATGGCTCGCCTCTCCAGAGCCGAGGCCCCCGAACACTAAGCTATTCTTGCTGTGGGCCCCCAAACGGGCAGTTTCTCTCTCTCCCCCCGCCCCCCGTGATGCTAGCTTCTCGCTTTGCTCTCCTGCCCTGTGAGACAAGCATCCCTCAGTGCAGAGAAACGATGGGGGGGGGGGGAGAGAGAGAGAGATGAGCAGGAGAAAGTGAGGATGAGAACTACCATTAACAGGAGATAAGGATAATGAAGTCTGGTGCGGAACAGGCAGCAGGGAGGGGGGCTCACTGAGCCCAAAGCCCTTGCTTCAAGGTCCTTCTCTCGCCCAGAAGCTCCCGCAGCCGCTGTGCCACGTCCAAGCGGGCCGGGCAGCACGGCCAGCCCGGAGAACCGCAGTGGGTGCCTGGCTGGCGGTGGGGTGAGGGGGGACGTTTCCAGTCTCGCCTGGGCCGCGAACGCGCAGGTGGCCACAGGGGTGCCCTCTTCCTCGCCTGCTGCTCCGTGACCTGCCAATTGCAGCCCGGGCTTCTTTGCTGCCAATTGTGCGGTATTTTGCCCCGGCCTCTTCGCCACCCTCATCATCCACGGCAATGTCATCCTGCTCTTCTGCTTGCACAAAATGGCTTACGAAACATTCCAAGGACAGGCACGTCTAAAGCACTGAAAACGGGAATCAGTGCAGAAGGGGCACCCCAGAGGCAGCAACGGAGGAATAATTTACAGGCTGGAGACCATCAAAGCTCTCCTGACACTGCGGATCGGGGCAGGACCCAGCACTTGGGGGGGCAGAAGGAGAACGTCTGCGGAAGACGCTGGGAGGAGAGGGCAGGTGGGCTCGCTTCGGAGCCTCGGCCACAGCACCCGGGGGGCCGAGATGCCCTCCGATTTCATCCAGTGCTGGGCCAGCGGGCAAAGGCCCTGCTTTCCACCTGAGGAAGGGGCACCCTTGCCTTTTCAACTCTGCGTGTTGGACTCCGGCTCCCACAATCCCCAGCTGGGCAATGCCTGGGAATAGTGGGAATCGCCAGCAACACACCTGGAAGTCCTCCGGGTGTGGTAGGCTGCTATAGACTGGGCAGCAGCGTGAGATGCCTCCGCCTCGTCCCCTCGTGTGTGAACACGCAGCCCCCCAGGCGTGACGGGCCCCTGGACTGGCACGCGCGCCTCTGGCCGGCTGGCATGGAGCCGGAGTGCCCCCTTCATGCGGAGGAGCCCAGGCGCGCTGGGCACCAGCCCCAGAGAGCCGGAGGGGTCCCTCCGCATTTCTGCCTCGCTTTTCCTACAAACGCGCTCGTTCCATCCAGGGAAGGCTGCGTGTCCCTCGCACACACCGGATCACCGGCGTTTGTTTTTAAAAGTTCTGCCCTGCCACGTTCCCGAGGCAGAAGCGCATGACGCTTGCTCAAAATATGGAAATGACAAGTCATCCGGATTGCAATGAAGGCTCCCCCGAGTCATCCTGGCGGCGAGTCTGCGCTCGCGTCGCCGGGCGTGCGGCTGCGCCCGAGGGGGCCCCCGCCGCCCCCCCCCCAGTTATTCGCTCTCTCCGCGCGGGGGCGGGCGCGGCGCTGGGCGCAGCCGCCCCCCAGCCAGGATCGCGCAGGGCGCAGCGGCCGCCCCGCTCTTGGGTCTTCCCCCCGGCAGCGGCGAGGGGTCCGGAGCGCTCGGGGAAAGGAGCGCGGCTTTGCCCCGATCTGCCACAAGGGGCAGCCTCGAGCCATCTGGGCAGGGGGCCTTCCATTCCGGCCAGCAGGAACCCCTCCCCGGGACCCCGCGGGATGCCTCCCACGGGATGCCCCCACGAGAGGTGCCCGGGAGGGGCTTGACCCCGGCCTCCCCAGCCACCAGGCTCCAGCGCGCCACCTCCTCCGGGGGCCGAGCCATGGGAAACTGCGCCCCTTTAGCCGGGGGTGGGGGGCCGGTAGACCTCCAGGTGTTCTGGCCTTTGCCTCCCAGAAGCCCCTGCACCTTGGACCCGCCAGCAGCGGGGGCAACGCCAGGGACGCCGGCGCTTTAGGCCCCGCGGGAGGGCACTCCAGCATCCTTGGCGCCACCTTTCCACATAGCCTTTTCATAAAACCTTTTAATTTCCCCAGTGTGTTAAGGTCTGACTGTTTTAATATGGGTTTTATTGTTGATTGGTTAAGAATTTGACCAGGATGCTGTGCCTTATTCTGTTCTGTCTTATAGGTAAACCATCCCACAGGTAAGGGATAGTCTAAAACAGTTGTAAATAAGATAGATAGATAGATAGATAGATAGATAGATAGATAGATAGATAGATAGATAGATAGATAATAGCGCCCATGAATAGAGAGGCCTTGGAATCAGCCGGTCCCCAGCCAGCCCAGTGGTCTGTTGAGCCCCTCGGCTCAGCCCGCCAGGGGCTTGCCCACAACGGGTCCTTCCCTGCTGCCTCATGCTCTCCAACGCGCAGGATCAGACCCCGGTCCCCCTGCACACAAACCAACGCCCCTTCCCGACGCGTGTGCTCCACCGTCCGGGCGTGGGGGTGGCTCAGGCCAGGCATGGGCTGCACACGGGGGTGCCCTGGCCATGTGGGCCCAGCCCCGAGCGGCTGGCAGGAAAGGTCAGTGCCGTTTAATCATCTTAATACCATTTTAATAAGCACGGGTGTGAATCCACGGCTCGGGCACGAGAGCGGCCCTCGCTAATCCACTTGAGCCTCTATCTCCCTGGCCGCTCAGCCCCGCTGCGCTCCCCACGGTGCCACTGCCACGACCTTTCTGGGCTGCACGGAAATTAGCCGCCAGCGAAGGGCCTTTGCCAGCCTCGCCCGTCACCTCGCCATGTCTGGGAAGGAAGGGGCTGCACTAGCCAAGCCTGGAAGAAGTCCTGGGCCGACCCGCCCCGTTTCCCACAAGCTGAGTGAGGCAGCTCCGGCGGGACGCTGGCGATCGCCGTGTCAGGGCATCGGGAGGCTGTGCGTGGCACCCCGTGGCCGGCTCCACCACGCGCAGGCCGCCCAGCCACACCACATGTGGATTCCCGAGCGAGCGCCTGTCGTTTCCCCGACTGAGCATGGCGGCTCACGGAAACAGCAGCATCGCTGCCGGCCCCGTTGGTATGAGAATGCTTACATTTATTAGACACTTTCTCAGAAAAAGACTCGAGGCACCTTAATGAGTAATTACACCAAACAAAAGCGCGCAGCCATTTTAAATGGCTAAAAACAACAGACAATGAAATACCAAATCCTTGGAATGACCAAGTCCGCCACGCATGATCAAATGCTGCAGGGGGGCAGTTTGCCTTAAACGGGTGCCAAAGAGTGACAAGGGGGGTGCTGGGGGCACCCCGTGGCTTTAGGAGGGATGCAAAACGCTGCTCAGACGGTCCAGTTACGGCAAAACACCCGGAAGCTGCAGCCCAAAAATGCTGTGCTGGACACTCATTCAGGGATAGGAGAACGGGAAGGAGGAGATGCGCCCTAAATCGCCATTGCCACCCGGGGGGGGGTGGCCCTGTGGCCCCCGGACCGCACCAAATCATTGGGAGTCCCAGCTCCCAGGAGCGGACCCTCTTGACCACTTCCCCCTCCAAGCCGGTGTGGGGAGACCCGCTCGCGGCTCCCTGGGGCCTGGGAAGCGACTTCGGCAAAAGGGCGAAGGGCTTCTGTCCGGGCACCCGGGATGCACGCATCACACACGGGCGCACACGCGTGTGCACGCACGTGCTGACTCGTGTCGCACCTCCATGTGCATCCCATGTGCACGCTGCGTGCAAGAGCGTTCATCTGCACGACAAAAGTGCACTCATTCTCACAGGGACACATGCTCCAGCTCTCAGGGCGCTGCTGCGGGGGGCTGCAGTCCTCCCCTGCCCGGCCACCCTGACCCCCAGCACGCCCTGCCAGCGGCTTAGCGCTGCCGGCACTTTTGCCAGTGGGGAGGCCGGGGGTGCCGGGGGGCGGCCGGTGTGCCGCTCTGCCCTGAGCCACGGGGCGAAGCGGAGAGCCCTCTCCAGACCTCCGGGTCCCACGCCATCGCTCCCGCCCTCCCCTCCTTCCAGCGCGAAGGATCCGGGCCCTTGGCCCGCGCACCGCCCGCCTCCCGGGCACACTTACCAGGATGAGGCAGACCACGGCCCCCGCGTCCGGGTCCACCAGGGGGATGATCAGCACTGCGAAGGGAAGGGAAGGGCGCTCCGTGAGGCCGCGTCCAGCAGCGGGGGCGCCAGGACGGCCACACTCCGAGGGCCAAACTCGCCGGCGCGGGAATGGCGAGGCTGCCGGTGCCCAGAGGCCGGGCTGTCCGGCACTCGGCCCCGGGCTTGCTCGGCTCTGCAGGTCGACCGCTTTGGGCCTTACCCTCCTCCTTCCCAAAACTCCGCTTGGAGAAGGAGAAGCAGGGGCACACCGTGGGGCGGGACGAGGGCTGGCCCCCCAGGGGCACACCGTGGGGTGGGACGAGGGCTGGCCCCCCAGGGGCACACCGTGGGACGGGACGAGGGCTGGCCCCCCAGGAAGCACAGTGATCCGCTTGCCTCGGGCAGCAAAGCAGGAGGAGCGGTGAACTGCACCCTCCTGGCCCGGGGGGGGGGGGGCTCTCCAGGGCCGCCCCTCCCATGGGACGTTTTCCGGCTTTCTTTCCCTTCTCCTTCCCGTGGTTCCAGAAGGGTTTTCAGGGAGGGGATACTGGGAGCAGATGAGCAAAAGCGGGGAGGGGACCTGTGGCGAGCTCCCCGCTTTCCGCTGCCACATGCTCGGCCGCTAAATGTGCAGCCATTTCGGGCTGTGCGACTCGAGTGGAAAGCCATGGGGGGGCAGCATGATATGGGGCAGGTCATGGGCAGGGCCTGGGGCAAGACCCCCACCCACAGAGTCCGCTTTCCAGCTCTTTCTCGCTCGCCGCCCGCCGTGAATCTCGCCTGCTGGACGGCAGCTAAAGGCGTGCGCCTCGCCTTGCACACAGAAATAGCCGAGCACACGGAGGCAGGCGAGAAAGTGGCGGCGGCAACGCGAGTGGCGGCGGGACGCACCCACGGGCAACTTCGTGAGGCGGGGGCTAGTGCCATTTGCCCCCCCCCCACGCACCCAGGGTGCCCGCAGGGAAAAGGTGGCGCTGATCATCCGTGCGGGTCTGGCGCACAGGATGTCTTCGCCTGTGGGGGGAAATGCCCCCCCTGTGGTCCCCCAGGACTCCAGCTGGGTTGGGGGTGCCCTCCAAGCACGGTGGGGGGTGGGGAGGCTTCTGGTGGAGAGCAGAAGAGCAGCCAGCACGGTGCATGCCCCCCCCCCGGGGGTGGCGGGTTTCCCCTTTCAGCTGCAGCCCCCCCCCCCATGAGGCTCTGCCCCCCTCCAAGGGGTATGGAAAGGGCAGGGTGGAGGGTCCCAGCGGGGGCGTCCCTCTTCACCCGTCTCCAGCCCCGCCGCAGCCGGGACGGGCACAGCTGCAGAGCGCTGCTTGGGCGGGCAGCTCCCCCCCAACCGCCCCGGCCCCGGGCTCCTACCTTGCTTCTCTGGGGCCAGGGGGGCGGCCAGGCCGGCCATGGGCTTGCCCTGCAGCTCCGCCAGGGGCAGCCCGCTGCAGCCCACCCTCTTCTGCTTGAGGACGGCATCCCTGGAAGACAAAACGGGGGAGGCGGAGAGAGGGGGGGTGAAGGGAGCCGGGAGGGAACTCCACGCGAGCCGGGCCCCGGGGGGCTCTTCTGGGCTTTGAAGCGAGGGAAGGGTCAGGTTTTGCTAGGGCGAGAGAGGACTGAGCTACACCGAGACAAGAATGTTTCAGAGTGTGGCCGGGTGTCCTCTCTTGCAACAGACCTTCCTCTCTTCCCCAGCAGCCTCTGTTGGAAGGTCTGTTTCCAGTACGGAGATCGAAAGCGATCCAAACTATGGAACGTTAACTGCGGGGGGGAGACCCTTAACCTGGGGCCACGGTGGTCCCCTGCGTAGACTGGAGGGCACGCCGTGGGTCTCCTCAGTCACTGGGCGAGTGAGGCATCAGTCCTTCCCCAGGCTGAGAGCGGCGGCTGCGCCTCTGGCCCTGCATTGTAGGACATGACTTTCCCCCCATTTCTGGAAGCCCCACGCTGCCCCCCCCCCATTCCTGGGAGACAAGAGGGAGGAGGCCGCTTCGAAAAGGCAAGCCCTCCCATTCCCCATTCCTGAGGAAGTCCACGGGGAAAGTCCACGCTAAGGCCAAGGAGGGGAAGGGCCTTCCCGGTCGTGGTACCCCGTTTATGGGATCAGCTCTCCAGGGAGAGACACCTGGTGCCGACGTTTTGGCCCCGGATTAAAACCTTTTAATTTTCTCGCCTTTTAATGGTTGAATACGTTACCTGGTTTCATACTGGCTTTCCAGCATTAACTGTTGTTTAATTTATTGTTGATTCTTATTAGGTTTCACATTTGTTTATTGTTGATTACTGTACACGCCTGATGAGTTTTATTGCTGTAGGGAGCTTTTATGACAGTCGGCATGTTTTAAATGTATTTTTAAATTGAATGCTATATCACACGCTGTTTTAATAGGATCTTGTACACCATTCTGAGAGTGCGGTACTAATTGAACAGTATATATATGCCTAAATAAATTCATTAAAAATAAATAGAATAGCTGGAACTTTTCATGCATATGCATGAACTTTAACCCCTGCAAATGCCTGTCATTTGTGGATACAAGCCTCAATCGAAATCTCTGAATGCATGTTTTGATTGTTCTCAGCAAGTTAATCTTTGGTTTTAAAAGGGTGACTTTAATCCTCAGATCCCAGTAATCCTGAGGGGGGTCACTTCCTGTGACCCTTCGGGCAGGCCGTGAGAGCAACACACTCTTGCACGGAAGCAGCACATCCCGGAACAACGCCCCCACCCCCGGCTCTGGCCCCGCCACCCTGCCTCTGAAATAGAATTAAGCATTAATTAAAGAAGACGCTTTGGGGCACCCGGCTGCACCCCTCAATTCTCTCTCTCTCTCTTGCTCGCCTGCTCTGGGCGTGCGCACGTGCGCATGAAAATATATTTGTGGGCCACCCGGGAAACCGCGGCCCACAGGGTGGGAAGCGCACAGAAGGGGGCAGATTGCCCCCAGCCCCCCGGAGGCTGCCCCCTCCCCAAGACAGATGCGCTGCCGGGCTGCTGCCTCCCCCGCTCTCCCCGCCGCTTGCAGCAGAACAGCCTGTGATGTGGTTTTTCCTGCTTTGCAGGATTACTGCTGAAGCCTTCTTGGCATTTTGAGGGATTTGATATTAAGCCAGCCAAGCTACCAGCAAGATCCAGCTCCTGCCCCCCCCGCCCCCCGTCCTTTTGGGAGGAGAGATTGCCAGATGAGTCCCCCGAAAAGAGGGCCGGGCCTGAGCTCCGCGTCCGAGTTGCAAGGCACGGGGGCAAGAAATGCCAGGCACCCTTCCTGGGAGGCAGAGAGTGAGGGGGCAGTGCAGGAGGGGGGCTGCGAGGGGGGCGCTCTCCGAGCAGCTCCGTTCCAAAAACAGACGTGCCATTTTAAGACGGCGAGGAGAGAAAGTGCCGCTGCTCAAAGGAATGAAATGCAACGTGATCAAAAACGGAGGAATTGGCAGAACAGGAGGAATTGGCAGAGCGGCCCCAGGGCTGCAAAAGGGCCTCTGGCTGGTGCTGGAAGGGCGAGGGCGCTGGGGCAGGCACACCTCTCCGAAGGACGCATTGCTGAGACGGGTGCCACCACCGAGAAGACCCCGTCTCTTGCAGTCACCCTCCCAGCCTCCTTTGGCGGGGCACGCACAGGAGGGCCCCTGAGGGGGACGTAAGTTTCCAGGCAGCCACACGCGCGAGGAGATGGGCCCCTTTCGATGCCCTGGCCCCCGGCTGGCCAGTGCTTCTGCTTTGGAGGCTTCCGCTGGGCTGGGGTGGAAATGGACCGGAAGCCGGCAGAGCTGACGGCGGTTCCATTGCTAGAGCAGAACCGAAACATGGCTTTCCTGCGGGATTTCCGCAGGTGGGACACAGCCCCTAAGTGTTGCTTTTCTTCCAGGCCGTTGCCTGGGCTTTTGTCCCTCTGTCCTCGACACCCAAGAGACGAGACGCGCACGGCTGGCCGTTCCCTTGCAGGGCTGCTTGGCTCTGCCCGCCGGGCTGCTTCCTTTCGCGCGTCTTCCTGGGCCTCGTCGGCGGAGCCCTCCCCGCACAGAGCACAGCAAAGCCAGGCCCTCCCTGGAGGAGCCCAGCGGGACGTGTGTGCTGCCGGCCAAGCCCCTGAGCCCAGTGGCCGCTGCCTCATCTTGCAGCAGGAGGTTCCGCAGGCCAATTTGGCCGTGTGCGTGAGGAGGGGCTCTCTTTGGTCTGGCCGGGTCTCCTCCCACCCTCAGCTTCACCGGAAGGCCCTGGTTTCTAGTCTTCCGGGGAGGGGAAAACCTCTCCTGCAGCCACTTCTTCCACACCATGATTGGCTCATTAAACCTTCTCGACCCCGGCCATGGTGACCTCTGCTTCTTGGGCCAACCAAGTTCTCCAGTTCATGGATCGCTCCCAGTTCACATTCCCATCTCTGCAGCGCTTTGAGCCCTGTGCTGTATCCCCATGTGTTTGGCACAAGAGGGTCAGCTCTGCCCGTGGGGCTGCAGCCCCAGTGGGTCACTCAGGTGGCCGAAGAACTGGTGTCAGGTGTGCTTCTGCAGTGCAGGGAAGGAGAGGTAGAGACAGGGGTGTGCAGGGAATCTGACGGGGGCAAAAACCCAGCGGATGTCCAGGAGCTGCCCTTCCCCCAGGCTCTGCCCACGCGCCCTGTGCTGGCACCGGGCCATGAAGCTCATGTCGAGCTGCTCGCGGACCTTTGCCCCGAAGACGGAGCTCCACTTGTGCATGGCTAAAAGCGCCAATGAAACTTCCTCAGAGGGGCACCCGCCACCCACCCGCGTGGCTCTCGCCCCACGCACGCAAGATCCGCAGGTTTTGGGCAAAGGGCAAAGTGCGCAAGAACCATTTGCACAAAGCAGTTGCTCCCGGGCACACTGAGATCCCGCCATGCGGTTTGCAGGGGTGTATTTGCACAACTTTCACTAGCGGTTTAAAGCGAAGTCGGTGAATTCCCCCAACTCAGCCCACTGAGAAACAGAGTGAGTCAGAAGAGGCCTCCCGGGCCATCTAGTCTGACCCCCGGCTCCAGCCGGCTCCACTCATGACATGCCTACTGATCTGACCGTCACATCAGAAGCAGGGAGGAGATCCATCAAGCTGAAATGAACCAGATCTCCCGTTTTGCAGGCTCCTGCCCCAGCCCCCAGGTGTAATCAGTGTGCAATTTGGGAGAGGGAGAAACACGAACAGAAGGAAGGCAAGACACCTTCCCGGGGTGAACAGCGGGCACAGCCATCAAGTACCAAGCCAGCGTCTTGTCATTCATCAGCCATGGAGAACTGGAACAGGGCTGGGAAGAAGATGCGTCTGCGGCTCTCCAGGTCATTAAGCAGAGCCCAGGGCCCTGGCAGTGACTGATACGGCGGCCTGGCACATCTATTCAAACATCATTATTCACAATTGCTGGGAGAGGAAGCCCATCAACACTGGCGCATCTCGGGCACACGGCGCCCAAGGAGCCATTTGTCACAGGGCTGGTTTGCGGTGGGAGCGGATTCTGGAGAGAGGACTTAGCTGGTTCGCTGGCTGGCCACCTGCCTCCTCCCTCCTCCATCCCTAAAGTTTTCCACCCATCCTGCCTGGGAAAGCCAGAACCTCTTGCTCTGCCTGCCGTGCAGAGCAGCGCTACTCAGGGGTGTTGTGGGGCACCCTCATCCGAGGGGCTCCGTGTGTCTCCCCGGGGCATTCCTTGTGAACTCTACGACAAGGTCTCCAGGTGACCAGAAGGAGGGGATGCAGTGGATGTGGGTTACCTGGATTTCGGCAAGGCCTTGGACAAAGTGCCTCATGATATCCTGGCGGAGAAACTGAGGAGTTTTGGGATACACCAAAGCACTGTCCGGTGGATTAGGGCAAGGTTGACTGACCGAAAGCAGAAGGTAACCATTAACGGGGAATCATCGGGATGGCGGCCAGTGACAAGCGGGGTCCCCCAGGGCTCAGTCCTGGGGCCGATCCTGTTTAATCTTTTCATCAATGACATGGAAGAAGGGTGAACAGTCTGCCGATCAAATTCGTAGACGATACTGTCCACTACCAAGGTCTCGGGATGGTCTCAGAGAGACATTTAAGAGTTTCAGATTTGCAGGGGTTCCTGCTCAGGAGTACGCCCCACGGAGTTCAACTGAGCAAAACTCCAGATCTTAGACTAGCTTGGAACTTAGCCTGGTCTGCCTCCCCGTGCCTGGCGTTGGGAGCGCACCTGGGTGTCCTCAGGCCGAGGCGACAAGCTTTGTCCTTGCAACCCAAAGAGCTCGCCCTGTGCCCGTCGCATCTCAAGTGCAGGAAGGAGGGGAGCCCGGAGGCCTCTCAGCTTTCCTCGCCACAGCGCAGATAAGCCGGCGGAGCAATGGCGAGATGCCTCGCGAAGGGAAGTAGCACTGGCCATAAATCAAAGCCTGGCTGGAGATCAAAAGCACCACATGCCTTGAGTTTGGAGAAAATGTAATGCTTCACGCAGATACGGTCCAGCAGAGATCTCTGCTTCCAGCCCGGCTGCCACGGGTCTCG